TGTAAATTGCAGTACTGTAGCAGCCTAATATGGTGAAGTCAGGCTTTAAGTGAGCGTGTCAGCAGCCCTGTTGTTTCAGTCAAAGCTTCTTATAGTGCAACTCACAAGGATCAGTTGGCTGTTAATACAGTTTCCCAGCCTTGGGGCTTCTCTTAGTTGTAGACTCTTACTTTTCCAGAAGCCTTGAGAAATACAGTGGTGCCTCACACAACGTTGTTAATTGGTTCCAAAAAAATCAACGTTGTGTGAAACATCGTTCTGTGAAACACCATTTCCCATAGGAATGCATTGAAAACCGGTTAATCTGTTCCAATTGGAACGGATTGCCATCGCTGAGTGAAAATCCCCATAGGAAACATCGCTGTGTGAAACAATGTTTCCTCCATTGGAATGTATTGAAGCCGACTCAATACATTTCAATGGCTTTGCGAAGTCTTTTTTCGCTCCTGTAAAAGTGTCTTACAATGTTTGGAACAGGTTTTAAATGCTTGCAATGGTTAGCCCACCTCCTGAAACCTATGCAAACTGATTTTGGTGTTGTTCTGACACTTCGTCGATTTATGGTAATTTTTTGTTTTCTCCATTGAAAACCATTGAATGGTCTGTCTAATGGTTTCCAATGAAGAAAATAAAAAATCATCATAAATTAATGAAGTGTCAGAACAACACCAAAATCAGTTTGCATAGGGTTCAGGAGGTGGGCTAACCAGTGCAAGCATTTAAAACCTGTTCCAAACATTGTAAGACACTTTTACAGGAGCGAAAAGGGAGATCGGGAAGAGCTTTAAAAGGCAAACAGAGATCAAAGAGCCCTTTCCCGATCTTCCTTTTTGCTCCTGTAAAAGTGTCTTACAATGTTTGGAAGCTGTTTTAAATGCTTGCACTGGTTAGCCCACCTCCTAAACCCTATGCAAACTGATTTTGGGGTTGTTCTGACACTTCCTTAATTTATGATGATTTTTTGTTTTCTCCATTGGAAACCATTAGACAGACCATTCAATGGTTTTCAATGGAGAAAACAAAAAATTACCATAAATTGACGAAGTGTCAGAACAACACCAAAATCAGTTTGCATAGGTTTCAGAAGGTGGGCTAACCATTGCAAGCATTTAAAACGGCTTCCAAACATTGTAAGACACTTTTACAGGAACGAAAAAGAGACATAGTTGTGTGAAAATCCCCCATAGGAAACATCGCTGTGTGAGGCGGCAAATTTAACAGAAAAAGGCATTGTTGTGTGAATTCATCGTTGTGTGAGGCACCCGTTGTGCGAGGCACCACTGTACTATGTACTCTTAGCTTTGTTAGCTATCGCTTCTGGATATTGTAACAGGTTTACTTGTTTGGTCAAGGTTGGGTTACCCAATATGAGTGCAGTTTTTAATATGAGTTATAAACTCCTTTTGAAGAAGAATGGATTAGTCTGTGCCCAATGGGAAGAGCACACTTGCTAATGTTTTAATTAACATGTTAATAAAATTAATATAACAAGGTAAACATGTTCACATTCCAGTATTAATAGCAATGAGTTACTTTTCCAAATTTTAACATTTAACTAATTAATATTTAACCTAACATTCTAAGCTTTGGATATATACAGAATCAATTTTTGTCAACTTTGTTTGGCATTGTTACCATTATCCATGTTTATTGTGCAGTGAAATGGTACACGTGTGGCAACTGCTTTGCTTGTAAGTATCTCTTGTGTTTCTGTGACCTTATTGGGTGAAGAACCAAAAACTTGCAGTACTTTATGGTGTTTGCAGAAACTATGAAGAATAATTTGCCAGCTATAAAATTGTAAAATGGTTCTTGCAAATGTTTTTCCTCATAAAGGGTCATTTTATACTTGGATTTCACCATGTTCTTATAGTAAATTTGTTGTTCAGTTGAAACAGTACTGTAAAGTGTGACATCTAGCTGACTTTCATTCATGTTCAAGAAACAAAGCCTCTTTCACAAGCCAAGGTTAACAGAGGGACAATATTAAATAAGATGGTGTGCACATTTGTTTTGTAGTGCAGTGTTCTCTGATACTGAATCTTGGAATCTTTCTTTCATCCTGTTGTGCGTACCTTTTTCTGGTGGTAAAAACTGAATACATTCGGCTGTTCATATCAGGTATTTTAAAGGACAGAAGATGTAGTGAAGTCAACTGAAGATGCAGAATGAAATGAATAAACTTCAGTAAAAGACACTGACCAGTACTTTTACTGAAGCTATACTATAAAGGCAAAGATTGTACATGCTGGGAACCAGAAAGAGTTGTTTCAGCAGCAGAACATCTTCTATTTGTGAAATCAAAATGGGCATTCTTGCAAGCCTGCAGCTACCACCTGAACTCTTGAAACTTTCTCCAAAGTTGTAGGCAAGCCTTCAGAGCAGACAGTGGAAAAGGGAAGATGAAGCTAGTCAGGCCAAACATGATGGTGATTTTAGTGCAAAGATTGCTTATTTGACCAGAACACAGAGTGCTGTCCTCTGAAGATGCCGGCCACAGAGACTGGCAAAACATTAGGAAGAACAACCTTCAGAACACGGCCAATGAGCCCGAAAAACCCACAAGAACCATTGCTTATATGTATTTATTAGCCTGTAAGATGGAACACCTAGCTGCAGGGCCATTCCTCACTATAGCTTGTAGAAGAAGAATCATCCTGTGGGATTTTGGACAAACTACACAATCTCAGATCATCCCCCAGAAGGAGGGATAGATAAGATGCTTCTGATTACTTTGTATATAGAAGACCTTGATAAGGGTTATCATAAGTATGAATCAACTTGGCAGTAGAAGATTATTTATTTATTATTCTTATATCCTGCCCTTCTAGTGGAAAGCCACTACTCTGAGCGGCTTGCCAAAGAACATATAACACAACATTCAGCCCAAATTAACAGATAAAGATAGCAAAACAGACATCATAAGCTTTAAAAAAATGAAGCACAACACAGATGGTGACAGCAGATGATCAGACATTAACAAATGGGTCAGAACGTCTCTCATGTGGGGAGAGTGGAATGCCGGTTCGAATAGCACTGTTTTCACCTGGTTTCGGATGGACAGAAGGGAGGGAGCTTGGCACACATCAACAGGAAGCAAGTTCCATAAAATCAAGGCTACCACTGAAAAGGCCCGGTTCCTGGTGGGTGTTTTCTGGGCCTCCCTCAGGGTGACCACCTGCAACAATACAGCCTGAAATGATTGGGTAGCCTGGGTAGTAGATCTTAGGAAGTGATGCTCAGACAAGTAGCGATGTAATTATGGGTGTTTTCAAAAGCCAGTTGAAAACTTGGCTATTCAAGCAGGCCTTCCCTTCAGTCAATTGAGTGACTCCTAGTTTTTACTTCTTCTTTTTTCTTTTTCTTTTTTTTTTTTGGATTCATGCCATCTTGGGACTGTTTGCTTTAAATTAATTGTTAAAATTGTAAATCTACGATTTATATTTTATATCGCTTTGTTTTTATCTATGTAAAACTGTGTATATTTTAAATTGTTTTTATCTTGTGTGTTGTGAGCCGCCCAGAGTAAACTATGTCTAGATGGGCAGCATATAAATAAATAAATACATAAATACATAAACAAACAAACAAACAAACAAACAAACAATTTTCAAAGAATGAGTTAATCCAAAGCAGCACTTGCACAGACAGGCTCATCAAAGGGAATTCTTTTTTTCTTCTCCCCAATGTGGTCCCTTAAAAGTGTCTTTTGTGAGTTTAGGGACCCTCAGGGAAGTTTTTTTGTGTGATTAGTAGGGACAGCATTTGATCAGGTAGAACTGGGAGGAGGGCAGTGTGCATGAGCTGTGGCAGACTTTACAAAATTGAAAAGAAGGAAAAAAGGGAGGGGAGTGAAGTGAATCAAAGGACAAAATATCACAGTACCCTAGTGACTTAACAGATTTGTTTCAGTGTGGCCTTTTGTGCATCAAAATCAACTTTTTCATAAATGGCTGAGGGAAGTGGATGTAGTTTGACAAAAGCTCACATTTAAAGAAACCTGTTAAGCCTTTAAGGTGCCACAATGTTTTGTTCTTTGTCTCCCACCCACCCCTTGCCTTCCCTTGAAACAGATTAATATGTCTACTTCATTGGAAACCATCCAGTGGAGAGCGTATAAGCTCCTGCCAAGAAATAGGCGGCACTTGGAAACGAAGATGGGAGGTTTGACATTTGTTTGAATGTTGCTATTTCTAGAGGAATTTAGCTTGGTTGAGGAGAGGAAAGTAGGTGGAACTAATACTAACTTGCTGGTCATTGTACTTCTTGGATTAGTTTCTAGTGAAACATGTTTAGGATGGCAGGTGTCTTGTTAGTGGAAATACAGTGCGGACAAGGGGACACTTACACTATTATTGTGGGTCTAATATTACAATGTATGTGAGTAAATAGCTCTTATCGTTTTGGTAATTCAATTTGAATTATAAAGGCAAATATTCTAGAAGTGAAAGAATCGTCAAATGTTAGTTTTTTGATCTGCATTTTTTAAAACTGCAGTGGCCTTGTGAAACTACTGCTGAGATAGAAAACATCCTGACATAGAAAAAGCTGTCTTGATGCGGAATTTTCCCCCACAAATTTGGAGAGGTTTTGAGAAGATTGCATTGTAAAACACATGTTTCATTTTAACTGAAGACACTTATTGTATCACATGTTGTATCAATGTCCCTCCCCAGCTTCAGTAGCATACACTTTGCATGTGGTATCTCACACTGTTTGTGGAATAGGTTATGGTGTTGGTTGCATGTACAATACAGGGTCTGCTGGAATGGGGAAATGCTTCCATAGTTACATTTATGCTGTAAATAGGATACCAGCCAGAGTATTTTAAGTTGATTTTTAAAAATTCTGATAAAATTAACTTCACTTGATGGAAAAATTAGAGTACATTGTCTTACTATATAGGTCACATATTTGATTAGCTGTATTAAAATTGAAATGCTTGAGAAATGAAAAAAGCAATCTTGAATCCAGCATTTCCCTTTATTTTAAAACCACAGGTTCAAGATGTTGTTCCTATCACAAGTTATGATACTGCTGGATCATTCCTACTGCTGGGCTGCAATAATGGTTCCATATATTATATTGGTAAGACCTGCAGCACCCCTGCCCCAAATTACTATTATCTCCATACTCTTCATTCTTTCATTTAATGTGAGTTATTTTTTCTTTGCTATTCCTGGTAAAAATAGTCAAATGTACTTGGAACATTTACTGGCATCATCCTAATGACCTTCATTCATTCCTTGTCTAAAATGACTGGTACTTTTGATTTTACAGATATGCAAAAATTTCCATTACGAATGAAGGATAATGATCTTCTGGTGACAGAACTTTACCACGATCCTTCCAATGATGCCATAACAGCACTTAGTGTTTACCTCACACCCAAAACAAGTTTGTATTATCCATCTTTTAGTATCTTTTAAAATTATTAGGGAATTTGATTTATACTGCATGAGAGCAATTTTGTGATGTCTTCATGCCATCATTAGAGGTCTAGCATTTTAGTGTGTCATTTAAAATCTGTCCTGCAAGCTGATTGTTGTACACACTAAAGCTGATTGTGAAGTTTATACTTAGTGGTATTAATAAGTAATTCAGTGGCTTCTTTGAAAGCATTGCTTTTGTGCTTCCTGTGTCTACATGGACATACAGTACTATGCTTATTTATTTGTAATAATAATGTGCTGTCAAATTGATTATGACTTAATGGCAATCCTTCTCAGGGTGTAAAATACTTAGAGGGGTTTTACCAGTTCCTCCTTCTGGTGACACTCTGAGGCCATACAGCTTGTCCAAGCTGCTTTGGTTTTTCTCTCAAAAGGCACAGCACTTCTGATCCCTGGCTCTGAACCCAAGTGCTCCAATCCACTCAGTGGTAACATTTACCTTTTTAATAAGGTCAGATCACTTTAATGAGTGCCTAACTACTGTGACTCTCATGGCAAAATGCCTTAAGAGTTGTCACCTCGTTATCTTTAGCACTGATTCACAAATGAAGTATATTTTGCCTCATTTATTGAACAGAAAGCAGGCAAACTTAGAGATAATTCAAATTAAAAATGACTTTTCTTCATGATACATAGGTTTAGCCATGTACAAGTTCTTAAAAGTTACGTAATGAAAATGGTGGGATCTTTCTTGGTGTCAAGTATAGATACTGTGTATAGATCTTTTTAAGCTGTTGGGTTGTTGTTTTTTTGGGGGGAGTGGACTTACAAGGGCAAATATGACATGTTTTAGAGTAAGTAAGTATATCATGGTTCATAAAAAAAAAATGATTGCTTTCTTTCCCTTGCTGTATTTACATTTGATGCAAATCTAGGTTCGTTGGTACATAAATCTGTTCTGTAGCCTGAGGAATTGAGGTGGCATGTTGTGATACACATCATTGGAATGTCCAAGCCTTGTCTGCAATAACATATTTGCTGAACAGTTTCACATTATTTGTTAAGGTTTTGTTTTCTGCCCATGGGTTGCCAGTGTTGCTTGCCCAGTTTAATGACATTGGGAACAACAACAAAATTGAAGTAACTAACATTGTGTGCTAGTTGAAAGATCAGAGGTAAATATTAACAGGTCCGTAGTAATATAAAAATCAGGTATACTTCTTAAGACCTGGGCAGGTCCCATCCTCTACACCATGCAAATTGTGCTAAATCTCTCCCTGTTTAATTGTACAGTATGCCTACACGAAACAGGTACATTGTACTAAAGCTTTTTTGGTTGTTTAAATTTTGCTTCAGGTGTAAGTGGCAATTGGATTGAGATTGCATATGGCACAAGTTCTGGAGCTGTGCGTGTAATTGTGCAGCACCCAGAAACAGTTGGGTCAGGTCCTCAACTCTTTCAGACGTTCACAGTTCATCGAAGTCCTGTTACAAAGATCATGTTGTCTGAGAAACATCTTGTGTCAGGTAATCTTGTTTCAGTAAATATGACTGGATTTTCTTATTTGCCATGTATTCCTGTGTTCACATTTCTAAATCTTAAAAAGGGAGCAACATATGTAGCTAGCAGACTTTATAAGAAAGTAGTGTCCTGTGGTAGTATGGTTGAGTAAAATGCAAATGTGTATTATTTATCAGATTCTAATAAAAAATAGCATGCTTGACCACAGGCTGTTCCCCTTTCCAAACAATAAAAGAGGTTTGAATTTAGCACTTTATGTACCTTGTTTTTTTTTTTTTTTTTTTAATTTTTTTTTTTTTAATTAAAAAAAAAAAAAAATATAAAAAAAAAAAAAAAAAAAAAAAAAAAAAAAAAAAAAAAAGGTAAACACCTTTCTGTACCAGTTCTGCAAAGCACCTTTTCTTAGCGTGGTATCTTATTTATTATTTTAAAAAGGTAAACACCTTTCTGTACCAGTTCTGCAAAGCACCTTTTCTTAGCGTGGTATCTTATTTATTATTTTATTTTTTATTTACAATATTTTTAGCCGCACCATTACCAGTGGCTTTTGGGCGGCGTACAACATTAAAACTTAAAAACATTTTAAAAGACAATATAAAATAGCATATATTAAAATAATTCTTAAAACATTAAAATTAATAAGTCCTGCTGTTCATGTGGCCAGCTAGGGAATACTGTTTAATTAAAATGCTGGCTAAACAGAAAGGTCTTTGCCTTGCACCGAAAAGCCAAGAGTGTTGGAGCCAGGCAGATCTCTATAGGGAGGGCATTCCAAAGTTGGGGGGCAACAGCCGAGAAGGCCCTATTTCGACATGCCATCCCCCTCACCTCTTTCAGGGATGGCACCTTCAGAAGGGCCTCCTGGCCTGATCTTGGAGGACAGGCAGGCTCATATGGAAGAAGGCGGTCCTTTAGGTAACCAGGTCCTAAGCCATTTAGGGCTTTATATGTCAAAGTAAGGACTTTGAATTGGGCCCGAGCAGCAACCGGCAGCCAGTGCAAATTTTTCAGAACCGGTGAGATATGAGTCCGTGCGGCGGCACCACTTACCAGCCGCGCAGCCCGGTTCTGTGCCAGTTGCAGTCGTCGGACCGTCTTCAAAGGCTGCCCCACGTATAGTGCATTGCAGTAAAGTCTGGTTGTTACCAGTGCATGAGTGATTGCTGCCAAGCTCCGCTCATCCAGGTAAGGGCGAAGTTGATATCTTTTCCGCAGCTGTAAGAAGGCACCCGTGGACACCGAGTCCACCTGGGCTTCCAAGCTCAGACTGGGGTCAAGGAGCACCCCCAAGCTGTGGACCCTGTCCTTTAGGGGGAGTGTAATCCCGTCTAAGGCAGGGAAATGGCCCTTTAACCTATCTGGCGGGGCACCTACCAGCAGGACTGCAGACTTGCCTGGATTGAGCCTCAGTTTATTGACCCTCATCCAGACCATTATCGAGTCCAGGCACAAGTTCAGAACGGTGACTGCCACACCTGGATTGGTAGAGAATGAGAGATAGAGCTGAGTGTCGTCAGCATATTGCTGACTCCTCAGCCCAGACCTCCTAACGACCTCCCCCAGCGGTTTCATGTAGATATTGAATAGCATGAGGGACAGTATAGAGCCCTGAGGAACCCCATGACGCAACCGCCATGGATCAGAGCTACTGTCCCCCAGCACCACCTTCTGGACTCGATCAGCCAGGTAGGAGCGGAACCACTGTAAAACAGTGCCTCCGCTTCCCATCCTAGCCAATCTGTCCAGAAAGACACCATGGTCAATGATGTCGAAAGCCGCTGAGAGGTCCAGGAGAATCAATAGGGATACATTGCCCCTGTCTCCCGGCAGAGGTCGTCAAACAGAGCGACCAAGGCATTTTCCATCCCATAACCCGGCCTGAACCTCGATTGAAATGGATCTAGATAATTTCCACCATTGGCCATACTGATTGGGTGGGATTTGAATTACATATAATCCAAAATGTATGAAGTGTGCTACATAGAGGGAAACTGTTGTAGAGGTTATGGGAGTACAGATTTATTACAATATTTGAAAACACTGAGGATATGAATAGTCCACATAATAAAGGCTGTATCTGTGTAAGCATTCTGTTGTATTTTTTTTCTAGTATGTGCAGATAACAATCATGTTCGAACATGGACTGTGACTCGTTTCAGAGGAATGATTTCAACACAGCCGGGATCCACCCCCTTGGCATCCTTTAAAATACTGTCCTTGGAGGAGACTGAGAGCCACGGCAGTTACTCTTCTGGAAATGATATAGGTAGTTGAAGCATTTCAAGTGCAATAGTGGTCTGGCAACTCTGTTCCTTTATTAGGCATTTTTGTGTGCAGTGCTCCAAAGAGCAAGGGATAGGGAGAAAGATCCAAAATTGGACAGTGGGAAAAAGTTCCTCCTTTAGGTTAAGTGGCTTAGAACTTTTCCAAGGACTCTATTCTCAGTTACTTAATATATGTGAATAATTTTTCATACCCATAATCAGTAAGCATGTTCTTTGTCCCATTCAGTGCATTTGAGAGAAGTCACTCCACTTTCTAAAACAGTTGAAATAAAATTTGATACTAAGATCATAAAGATGGGAAATGCGTGAGCTGGATTGGGGAAAAGAACTGATGGTCTCTTTCATGACATCTGAACTCTCTGGAATAAAGGTTTTGCATGTCCAGCTGATTCAGAGGAAAAGCTGTTAATGAAGTAGCCTGCAGCACACTTATAATTTTATTCTGAAGTAGCGACTAGTAAATATTAGATTTGTTATTTGCTCTTTTGTCAGTAAAAATGTAAGAGAATTGTATTGATAATGTGATGTTAGAGGAAGGAACTAAAATGAAATCAAAGAGGATGTCTGACAACAATATGGTGAAAAACATCTGGGGTTTGAGGAAAATGGATTGTAACAAGCTACACAGCGGCAGTGATAGTACAATTTAAAAGCTTTTGTACAGGTTTTAGGAACTCTGCTTTCCATTCACAGGGCCATTTGGTGAGCGTGATGATCAACAGGTGTTTATACAGAAAGTTGTCCCTATTACTAACAAACTCTTTGTAAGGCTTTCATCTACTGGAAAAAGGTAAGTAACAAAATTGAAGGGGAAACTTCAAGCTTAATGCAGATATGCAGCTTAGTTACCTAGGAGTTTTTGTGATGTCTTCAGTCTGTTAACATTTTGACTAGATTCACTGTATTCACCACCTATTTATGCAGCCTTCAGAAAGCATCTGCAAAAACCACTCTTTTGATTTAAAAAGATGTCTCCAAGAGCAACAATTCTCCTTTGAAACAAGATGTGTTTGTGCATGTACAAAGCATGCATGCACCATCAGGGTTTTAATGAAACCTGAAGTGGCCTTCTGGTCCTTCCAGTTCCATATTTGGTGACTTGTATGGATCAGTTCAGCAACCTGAAGTTTGCCTACTACCTGGACTATAATATTAAATTCGGATGGTGTTTAAACATTTAACTCTGTATCAAAGGGCTAACACTATGGAGTTCTTGAAGAGTATATTCAGAATAATGGAATAATACTGTCCCCACTTCAGTTCGAAAGATGATATCTAAAATCTTAACATCAATCTGAATGTCATTATCATTGCATATATATGTAATTTTAGCTTCCTGAGTTAGGTTATTTTAGTTTATTCTTGTATCAGCATATCATTTCTAGATTTTTTTTCTGTTTCAATTTTTCAGCCATTTGTTTCTTGCCAATTAATGAGAGCCTTTTTTTAAAAGAAAAAAAATCAGAATTGTGATTCTGTCTGACCTGTACAGATGTTTACCGATCTCTGAAAATTGTTTCGGAGAACTAAACATTTAAGTGTTTGAGAATCTGGATACAAGGATATAGAAGGACAAAGAATCAATTTGGGTCTTGGCTTATCTCATAATAGTAAAATCAGTGTTTTATAACCATAGTTTACCTACAGTCTGGATTGCTCTTAACTCTCACTTTTTTAAATGGCCATTTAATTATATTCCTTATTTTAGAGCTCTCTTCTGTTCCTCCCATATGCTAGTGGGTATTGCTACCTTTCATTAAAAATATGATATGTTGCCTGGCCATTTAAAAGTAAATGAAATCCAAAGATGTGGAAACAGCAGCTAAAGTGTTTTGGAAAGCCCTGGATACTAGTTAAAGAAAATAGCACTGTTCTAAAATTGAAACTGCTAGTGCAGCCATGGCTCCTAATAGCATTTCACCAGCACACTATATCTATAACACGTTTCTTGCTGCTTAATCTTGTAATGAATAAAACTCTTTAAGAGAATCAATCTTCTTTGCATCAAAGTTCATTACATACAATCATAAGGAACTGTTAGCAAAATTAATCAAGAGTATGTTTTCGAAGCACTTAGATTATCCCTTTGACAGCTTGTTTGTTTTTAAGCAAATAATATTAGAAGCCTGTAATATGGTTGGAGGCCAAATTATCATCCCAATGAATGTTATAAATCACTGTGATTTAATGTTCTGTGCATGCACAGGAAGAAACTGCCACATGTTTATTAAAATTGGTCTTGTACTAGGGCAAACCTTAACGTAATAACTCAAAGCCTATTCAACTTTGACCTCTTTCTGTTCTCCTTCATCTCTTTGATTATTGCAAGCATAGTCTAATCAGCCTATCCCTTCTACATGTTAATTAAACCTGCATTCACGTATACCCATTTTGTCCTGGAAATAATTGTGTTAGTAATCTGTTCCCATGGTAGCAATTTGTAATGGGTGCATTCAGATGTTACACATCCTTTCTTAGGCATTTCTTCCTAAATTGCTGTGGAACAATCAACAATTTGGTGAATAAGTGAACCTCAGTTCCTGAACACCCTAGTCCTTGACCTAATTTAGTAAAGTATCATAGAGAGGTTTGAAGGGAAGAACTTTGTAGATCAAGTAATACAGAGAAACTTCTAACTACCACTGAAGGTGTCCTGTAACAGTTAGGGAAAGAATATTGGCCTTGTTCCAAGTTGAAAATTCTATGGTGTTGCAGAAGCGGCAGTAGCATAAAGAGGACACTGCAATGATTCTGTCTCTTTTGACCTTTATTAAATTGCTTAAATTTTCTTGGAATAGGCAGGTATATAAGGTGACTACAGTCTATAGTGCCATGTATACATAAACATCAGTTGCTGTATATGGCAGGCTGAACTCTGTGTACCTTCTGTAATTTCCACAGGTTTCCTTTACTGATTTTTAGTTTGCATACCAAAATCTGCAACATTTCTTGCATAAATATTTTTTTTTAGAAAAGACTTACAGAATCCAGAATTTGTGCCACATTCTGTAATAACTGTGCATGAAACTTTTAGGTTAACACCTAAAAAAACACTGGAGAGGTCTTATTTTTTTACGTTGTATTCTTTAAGTAATTTCCAATACACAGGCACTGAAATCTGATTCATTCTATTTAACTAAAGGGAGCATTGCAAAAGTATCACATTCCTATCAGGTTTTTTCTGTCTTGATTACTTCTGTTTGACTCATGCATGTAAAATCACCTTAGACTGATAATTCAAACAAAAAGACTGCCTACCTTGCTTTCCCTTCAGTCTCTTTGCCTCACAGCATGTCACTCCCAGGTGTCGCCTTGGCCCTGCCACGCAGCTCTGTTCTTTCTCTTCCCTCTCCTTTTCCCTCTCACCATCTCCTTAGCATGCCCTCCAACCCACTCTGATTTCTCCACAGTCTCCTTGCCTCACCTGAATAACTGATGAAAAATGCAAAAAAAGAGAGAGACCCTTAAGAGGTGCCCTCTTTCATGAACAAAAGGACTGTTATGTGGGGGGGAAAAACAATAACTAAAGAGCCCTCTTGAAAAAAAATTGAAACTAAATGGTAGGTTTCCATTTTGAGGATCCCGAGTAGTAACTCAAATGTCACATCTAGTTTCCTAATTTAAATGAATTGGAGAATATATTAATTGCACCAACTGTAACTTCAGGTCAAATGCTACCAAGATTCCCTCTTAAGTTGTGTCTATGCAACTCTGCCCCCCCCCCCGCACACAGCATTTCTTCTATTCTGCACACCAACAGCTATCGTTTTCAGCCCCTTTGCTTCCGGTTGTGATGGAACCCTATGCGGGGCAAAGTTGCATGCAAGAGGGACAGCGCCCCATCCAGCGGGGCTGAAAATTAAAGAGAATGTTGGTTACTACTGTTGTAACTTCTGTTTTATTAGTAACTTGTGCCTTTTACTTGATTATAAAAATAATTGGAGAATTGATAAATACTTTGCAAGCTGTGATTTGAGAAGTCCATGACTATAGTGTAATTATTCTTATTCTAATATAGGATATGTGAAATTCAAGCAGTTGATTGTACTACAATTTCATCTTTCACTGTACGAGAATGTGAGGGATCCAGTAGGATGGGCTCGAGGCCACGACGCTACCTCTTCACAGGTCATGTGAATGGCAGTATTCAGATGTGGGACCTGACCACAGCAATGGATATGGTTAATAAAAGTGAAGAAAAAGGTAGCTGTGTGGATATAATGAAACATCTCAGAAATGCAAATTAACTATTCCATCATAAAGATAAACCAAACATAATTGGCTATTCTATAGGCTGTTGTCTCTCTCCTCTGTTTTCTTTCATCTTTCAGTTTCATTCTGTCAATTAAAGCAGGTTTGTGATCGGTGCTTTGCTTTTTCTTCCACTAGAACTCTTAAAATCAACTAGTTGGAGCCTTTGAATTAAAAGAATTCTAAATCAAGTATTTGTTCTGAATATTAGAACTGGATGGAACTCACGTTTCCTTTACACACATAAACAATCCTGGTTATTCCAGGTTTCATTTCAGTATCTTTGGTGATGTGGGCCTTCCACTCCTGCCATGGTCATTGCTTGAGTTATTTGATTATTCATTAGATTTGGGGAAAAGGCTTTAAATCCGCCATCCTTTCCTTTGACTGTATGTGGTTGAGACTTGCGCAAGCCCCCTGTTCAGATCAAATTGCTCAAGCAATAACCATGACATGAGCAGCTTGAATGCAGTGATGTCTAGGATCTCCTTGTGCAAGTGTGTATCTAAGCTCTTTGTAATGGGGATCTTCATTAGCACAAGGGCACTGTTTATATAAATGGATATCCTATGTTACTGTGCTAGCAGGGCATTATGCTGTGTCACCACCAAACAGGATTCTAGCAATTGCTTGCATCTTCCTTAAAGTTTAATTTTGTTCACATTTTTCCTAATGTAGACATATCTGTTGACTGATATTTATAAATGTTTTCCACTAGATGTATTTTCAGTCATTCACATTGAAAAATATACAGTGGTGCCCTGAAAGACGATGTTAATCTGTTCCATTTAAATTGCTGTCTTCTGAAAACATTGTCTTGCGAAAAGCGTTTCCCCATTGGAATGCATTGAAATCCATTTAATGCATTCCAATGGGGAAAATAGTCGTCATTTTGCGAAAATTGCCCATAGGGAAGCCATTTTGCGAAGTGCTGATCAGCTGTTAGAAACGCTGTCTTGCAAAGCATCAGTCCCAAAAACACCGGTTTTGCGAGTCACGGACCTATCTGTGAAAATCGTCGTCTTGTGAAGCATCGGTCCTGGGGGGGGGGGGAAACCATCTTGTGAAGCATGGACCAAAACATCATCCAGCGAAAATCGCCCATAGGAAAGACTGTTTTGCGAAGCGCTATAGCGATCGCAAAAAGTCATCAGCATGTGGATTCGTCGTTTTGCGAGGTCATCGTCTAGCGGGGCACCACTGTATGAATGGTTTTGTTTAATTTTCATTTATTTGAGTAACACCACAAGTTTCAGGGATATGCACGTTTTCAAGGCAAGATGTGGTTTATTTTTCATTGGTCAAAATCCTGTTACTTAGTTATACGTGTGTAAGGCAAAACCCAACAGGTATACATGCCCCTAGAATCCCAGCAGTGGCTCATTAATTGCCATCTAGAAGCTACTGAAATTTATACTGTTTGCTTTCCAATGCATCACTAAACAACAGATGTTAATCCAATGTGTCTTAGCAGGTATGAAAAAAAGATTTATGTCAAGAATCTTGAATCCAATGAAATGTTTAATTAACCGTGGTCAGGATGGAATGATCGTTTGGATGAACTGTTTAATGAAGGCCAAAAATAGGCCTATGTTCTCTTTATGTAGTCTCTGATTGGTGTTTCTTTCTTTAAGATGTGGGTGGTCCTACTGAAGAAGAATTGCTTAAGCTTTTGGATCAATGTGACCTGAGCACATCTCGTTGTGCTACCCCCAATATCAGTCCAGCCACTTCAGTGGTGCAGCAAAGCCGCCTGCGTGAATCAAACTCTAGGTGAGTCCTTGGTCAGAATGGGGTGTGTGCATGTGTGTTTATTGGCTTGTAATGTGTAGGTTCGATTTTTTTATTCTTTTATTTTAAGGCTCTAAATTCTTAGATATTATTGTTCTCTTTTAAAATTGCATATTACTGAAGTCACCTGAACAGTCATAAACCATTAACAGAAGTTGAAAGTCTAGTCTCCTATAAATAAACAGAATTGGTGCCTTCCAGAAATATAATGCTTTTTTTCCTATTAGAAATTGGTAATTTCCAGTATGTGTGTAATAGCTTTGTCATATTTATTTACTCATTTAATTTATACCGCAATTTCTGCCAAAAGAAGGCACTCAGTACACTTCGCTGTTTGATACCATTGAGGCAGTGGTGGCTAGTCCTTTATGTTTACTGGTCTGAAGATGACCCAGGCTTATATATTGCAGGATTTGTTCAGTTGACAGAGCAGTTCACTTCATGTTGTTACTCTAAATGCTTGTAATGTTTTCAGCCTCCAGTTGCAGCATCGTGAAATGATCCATGAAGCGGCAACATACGGTGCCATACGGCCATATAGGGAAAGTCCTTTGTTAGCCAGGGCACGACGGACAGAGAGTTTTCACAGTTACCGGGAAATTCAGGCTTTTAATTTGAACAAAACTATGGTAGACAAAGCTGTTCCTCAGAATGGCAACCAGTCTCCGCTACAGACAGAAGTGAAGAGGATTGGTGAAAACATAGTTGATAAAAAGATTTCAGCACCAGCACTGGAGGTAAAAGCTCCTAAAGCAGCAGAAGGTGGAACTGAACTCCAGAAAGTGCCAGAAAGTTTATCAGAAATGAAAAAAAGAGGAATGGATGATGAAAATGAAACCAAAACAGATAGTAAAAAGAAAAGTGGATTTGAAGGAGGAGGAGCACTCCTGGGAAGGAAAAAAGCACCACATCTCGTGTCTTCAACAAGTATTGTGGAGGGAGTTTCTGAAGCACTCAGTATGGCTTCCCCATCACCTACAAAGACACCAGTTTCTCCACGGCATAAGAAAAATGATTTTTCCTGTCAGGACTATACCTTATAAAAGAGCTAAAGGGCATCAGTAGCCTGGACACATCACGTTTTAACACTAAACTGGATGAAATGTTTACATATCTGTTAAGTCTGTGTCTTTAAAATTGAAGCTGTTGTGTGAAGTGTGGTAAGGCAGTATAGGGAGCACATCCTTCTACACAAATGACTTTGTGTCACAACACAAACAGAAGCATTTTTAAAGTATTCTAAATAGGTGTTGACTTTGTATAACTCTTAATATAAATCCAGTTCTGGTACAGATACGAGTTCAAGTCTTGCTTAATGCAGGCTGGCATGCACTACCATTTTTTGTTGTAAGGGAGACTTTCTGTTGTGTATTAAGTGTTTCCCAGTCCTGATTCCTCACATGCTAAACCTTTAATGTTTGTGGCCTGTCTACTGGTCTTCAGATAATCCTCATTTCACAGTTTCGGTGTGGTTCCATACTGGGAACAAACAATGGAAAGAAGGTGGCATGGCATATTTACCTTATGTCTGCCTCTTCTGTTGACCCACCATATCCTTTACTAGTATTAATATACTTCACATACATCCTATGGTGCATTTGTTAACTTAATTGTATTGTAGTTCCAAAACGTCTTGTTACTGATTATGGATGCTATTAAACATTATTTTGCATATATTTGTCTCTAATATTAAAATATAAAGACTCTAGTATTTTTTGTGTTTTACTCATGATGAGCGGAGCCACTTAGTAAACACTCTTAGAAAACATAGCAGTTATGAAAAAGATTATCTCAAAGAATGGAAGAGACCATTACCCAGGACTTTTACACCAAATGAAAAGTTTGTGACTTGAACCTGCTATTGTGAGCTGCTGCATAACCCAGCAGTACCGTGTTTTACTCATGATGAGCGGAGCCACTTAGTAAACACTCTTAGAAAACATAGCAGTTATGAAAAAGATTATCTCAAAGAATGGAAGAGACCATTACCCAGGACTTTTACACCAAATGAAGAGTTTGTGACTAGAACCTACTATTGTGAGCTGCTGCATAACCCAGCAGTATTTCCTATGTAGGCCAGTCTTTCAGACAATTAACAGTAAACTAAAACTATTGTTCTTACCATCTTTAGTAAGATATGTATCTGCCAAATGTTATCCTCCAAAAAGGAAAAGCTCCCTTCAGAATGTTTTAACTGCAAGGTTGATATTTAATTTCAGATTGTTTTTGCTTCATAATATTGATATATTGCCAGCATATTTGTATCCTTTAAATGGCTATTTTTGTTACATCCAATCAATTTTCTTCCAACTTCTGGTGACTCTATAAGGTACTGAAGGTACAGTGGTGCCTCGCTTAACGAGCGCACCGTTTAACGCCGAATCCGCATAGCGATCTGTTTTTTCAGATCGCTATGTTTTTGTTCCATTTTGGTTTTTTTCTGGTCTGTAAGTCAAATCTCAGTCTGCAAGTCAAACCTAAATTTTGCGGCCAGAGAAGTCTGTAACTCAAAAAGTCTGTAAGTCAAGCCATCTGTAAGTCAAGGGTCCACTGTATTTCCTATGTAGGCCAGTCTTTCAGAGAATTAACAGTAAAATAAAACTATTGTTCTTACCATCTTTAGTAAGATATGTATCTGCCAAATGTTATCCTCCAAAAAGGAAAAGCTCCCTTCAGAATGTTTTAACTGCAAGGTTGATATTTAATTTCAGATTGTTTTTGCTTCATAATATTGATATATTACCAGCATATTTGTATCCTTTAAATGGCTATTTTTGTTACATCCAATCAATTTTCTTCCAACTTCTGGTGACTCTATAAGGTACTGAAGGTACAGTGGTGCCTCGCTTAACGAGCGCACCGTTTAACGCCGAATCCGCATAGCGATCTGTTTTTTCAGATCGCTAATGCGATCGCATTGCGATGTTTTCAATGGCAAAACATCGCATTGTGATGATCGGTAAGTGTTTCGCTTACCGATCTTCGCATTGCGATGTTTTTTTAAACAGCTGATCGGCAGTTCCAAAATGGCCGCCGGATGCCCAAAATGGCCGCAGCAACCATTTTCGTGCCCTGCCCTTGCTTACCGAGGGCGCGAAAATGGCGGTGCTATGGAGGAACTTCGCTGAATGGTGAGTTTGGGGCCCCATAGCAACGCATTAAACGAAGTTTAATGCGTTCCTATGGGTCTTTTTAATCCGTTTAGCGATGTTTTTGCATCGCGACGATTAATCCGGAATGGATTACCGTCGCTATGCAGGGCACCACTGTATATGAAATGTTCAAGGAGTGCCATAGTACCATATAGTACCATACTACCATAGTAGCCCCTCAGTGAGTTTCCAAGCCAGGTGTGATTTGAATCCTGGTCTTCTGAGCTTCAATCTAGCATTATCCTCTGCACCATGCTGACTCTCATATCTAAACAGTACTCTTGTATGTTCTTATTGAGCATTGTTCTTAGGCCGATGTAATAAAGAAAAGCAAACACTTAAAAATGCAAATCACAAGTGGCTTTCGCAACTTTTTCTTTTCTTTAAAACTTTTGGGCATTCCAGATTTTAAGTATTTTGAAAAAAGTTAATGGATTTTGATCTTAAGGTTCTATGATTTCTTAATGGAAGTATAGAGCATCTACATTTTATAAGATGTGGCATATGGATTTATCTACTTCCCCAATTAAATTTGGTTCACTTCAAACCCTAGAATTAAATAACATTGAAGGGAGACACTTGATTAGCTAAAGATAGCTGCTTTCCAGTCCTAGAAGGGTGTGGTAAGTGACTGCAGATTAGATATAGAGTTTCCTACTGCAGAGGCAGGGGGAAAAACCCAAAAGCAGAATAATAAATTCTAATACTTTCATCTTTTCTTCAGTCAGTACTAACCCTTATGCTAGATGGAATGGTGCTTAAAACATGTCATATGGCAAAATGAATCGAACACACCCAAGGATGATACAACTTAGAATGAAATCATTTATTAATTTGGAACAATGTCCTCTAATCTGACCAGGATACTACACTTCTGTCTGTAAATACAGAAAATATTCAATCTTAAATTAAACGTAATGGTTATTGTTCTGATGTCAGTATAAAAACTTAATGACTGATATTTTAAATATCCCAACAGTAAATCTGCATCTTTCTATCCATGTATTCATTTCTTTCCTGCCATCAGTACCATTTAGGCTACTGTTAAACTTAGAAAAGGGCTAGGCCTGTGTAACAAAAGATATGTCTATAAACCCTAGTAAAAATACATGCTGCCAAAGTTTACTGTTCTCAGTGCTATGCAGTTTGATGTTTAGAATCACGTTTCCTCTTGCTTTTCCTATTAACAGACCAAAACTAGGTAGTAGTGGTATTATCTTTGGAAGAAATACCACTTTTTAAATTATTACTATTATAGCTGAAGTTTAATCCAGACCTTTCCAAGCCAAATCCATTTTACTACAAATTACTGTGAAGTCTTGCTGGTTTGAAATGTTGATTCTCTTCCCACAGAGGCATAATGATACTACTGCCATGGGTAGATATGTCATAGCATCGATGGATAGGTGACCTAAAGGATGTGAAACTGACTGAAGATATTTCTGTAGTAACAGTATTTTTCACCCAATGCTATAAGCGTTTGACCTTACACAGCTGCCCACAAAACAGTCTCTTTCAACATTTGCCTTTTAGAACAGTGATAAGATGGCCAGCTGCCACAGCCAACTGAAAAAACTATTAGATTAGCCATTCAGACAGCAGGAAAATGCCATGTGATGGCATTATATCTAAAGTAGTGAGTTCTTAGACCACTGTACTAAAAGATTTAAGCTGCAGTTCTAGGCATATTTATCTCAGAATATTCATACATGTTTGACAATTGATTTCATTTGTGCTTCTTGTTGAGCAGGGTTAGGATTGAAGTTTATGTTGTTTTCACATTTCAGTCTTGAAAACATTGACTTGTTGATCCATTGCACCACCATCTTTATTTTGCCACTTAAATGAACTTTAGGATATTAGCAGAAGAAGATAGCTTTGGTAGTGCTAATCCAGCTTGCATAGAATTTAAGCACTGATGGTGAGTTAGTTTCAGCTGCTAAATTCAGCGCTTCCCCCCCCCGATCATCTCAAAGCCCTGCCGATCAGCTGTGCGAAAATGGGGCGTTTGCGATGATCGCTTCCCCTTGATCATCGCAAAGCGATTTTCCCCATAGGGAACATCGCAATGCGATCACAAAAGTGATCTCAAAATCTTCATCGCTATGTGGATTCGTCGTTAATCGGGGCGCCCGTTAAGTGAGGCACCACTGTACTTTTGCTCGATTACCTGAAGCATTTCAGGTTATGCCTACGTGAACTGGAGCATGAAAACCATGGGTTAGATCCAGATTTGGGGTTACAAGTGGATTTAAGAGATCTTCCCAATCTCTTTACAAGCAGCCTCTTCGTCCCTGAAAGTGCTACACAGAGAGTAGCTGAATGAGATAAGCTGTGCTTTGTTGGGGAGGGGTACATCTTAAAATTGGGTAGACAGCGGTAGAAAGCAGGTATGAGATCCAGCACCCTTGGAGGACAATACAGGATTCCTACTCAAATTTATGACTTAAAAGAAATCAGCACGCTCTATATAGTAAGTCTTTTTCAGTGATACAAAGCAAATCAAACTAAATGCATTGTTTTATTAATAGTTTGCAAGCAATAATACAGATTGCTTCTTAGTCATCTTCTTTCTTGATCATATACTGTAAAACATTTTAACGTAGTAAATATAATAGTTAACTTCCTTTAAAAAAACATTTTTGAAAGCAATAAATTTTGGTTATAATTTAAAATTGTAGCAAAAATAGTGGTGATCTAAATTTGACAAATATACCATTTTTAATCTCATTATTTCCTTCAATGGGTGGTTCAGTCAAGGTTTCAGGCTCATATATCTATCAAAACCACATTAAAATCCATTTAATATATATATACTAATATAAACACAGTTCCAACTCTATCCATTTCCATCCTGCAGCAACAATTGTTTAGCAACAATGATAATGTTTTGATAAAATAACAGTACAACCAATTCTAGCCACCCACTGCCCAAGTGATTGTTTGTTAACATGGGTAAAGTTCCAGTAGGCACATAATATCTCAGCAATTGAACAAGGCAAAGTGGATTCAGAATGGCTTGAATTAAAAAAACAAACAAACCTACAAGCTTTTGCTTAAGCTATAACAGCAGTGGAGAAACTGATCATAAATGTGTATCAGTGAATGTTGTATGTTCTTTGGTCACAGTACTGAAGCCTTTGATAGCACTTACAAGATCTTCGTCATCCACATACTAAAAAAATTAAAATAAATATTTTGTTAGCATTGTGTGCATAATCGTGCTAAGGTGAATAATAATAATGCAGAATTTTCAGATTTTTTTAAAAAAGATAAAATCCTTTAAAAATTCAAGAAAATCTCAAACCACATCATTGAAAAAAAGACAAAATATGGCACTTTAAAGACTAAGTGCAATATTTTAATGTGAGCTTTCATGGACAAATCCACTTCCTAAGACATAAGGAAAATTCACACTAAAATACAGCAGTTAGTCTTTAAGAAACCACATCATGTCATCATTTTGTGTTAATTGTATTTTAGATAGCAACAGGAATGAAAGAACTTCACTGCACATGGTATTATCCCCACTGTAATTATCAAAATGATTTTGAGAGTTTTTCAAAACTCCTACTAGAGTTCTGGCCTGTGAAAAAGGTGGTAACTGACAAGCTGCTGGTAAGAGCACATACCAAACCACTGTATAAAATCAGTGGGATTCTAGCCATCAGAACTCTGGTTATCCTATTGCTAGTCCCAAATGGAGCTGATGCAGTGACTGTCACATTTATCTATCTGTTGACTACCATTCAGTAGTTGATTCCTTGGGTCACCTAGAGTTGAGATTAGGAAAAAGATAGTTGTCTCTTAACACTGAGCAGTAAGAAGCAGAGTGATGTTTATTAAAACGAATATCCTTATAAAAAGATTAACATCTAAATTTTGATTTATGCAGGACCTTGGCCAAAAGGAAAGTCTGTACCTTTGTATGTTTTTTTTTTTTGCCCACCTAGTTGTATCACTATGTGTGCTTGCCTACTCACATGTAATCCTTGGATAACAGTGCTACTCTCACATGTGCCATCAATTGCTAAGATGCCAATTTTAAAGAACAAATGTCATAGTTCATGTAGCAAGTACATTTAAATGTCACTGGACATATGTGTAAACTGTGAGAAAAAAATGTGTAGCTTACATACCGCCCTATAGTGCTTGAAGCTCTCTCTGGGCATTTTCCAATGTAATTATGCAGACTACACATTGTCTCCCATTCCCCAGCAAGCTGGGTACTCAGTTTACTGACATTAGAAGGCTGGACAGCTGAGTCAACCTTGAGTCAGCTGAGTCTGGGATTGAACTCAGGTGGTGAGCGGAGTCTTCACTGCAGTACTGCAGCTTAACAACTGCAACACAAGGCTTCCCTGTGTTTTGTGTAAGTTCTGTCCACGTAAGCTGGAAGAAAACATAGGCAGAGAGGAGAAGGGGACCAGGCCAGAACTGATGGACTGCCTATGCTGCCCAGGAGTGATAGAAGTTACAGTTCAAAAAGATTCTCTACCCAACCTGACTTTAAAGTCATTCAGCACCTGGTGGTACTCTGGCACTCCAGAAACTAGTGTTTCCTACTGGTATTATCACTGTGTTGCTTGCTCTGACTGGACTTTGTCCTAACAAGACTGTTCATATGGCATGTTAATGGGCAAGGTGATCAGAGAAACTTAACTTGGAAGAGAACTTACCAAACCACTGTCATGACCGCGAAGAACAGTATCCCAAACAACATCTTCTATTAAGGACTTTTTGTCATAGACATCGATAAGCTGACTGACACTTCGATGTAGGGAAGCTTGGGAAAAAGTACGTTGAATCTGGCTTTGGCTGGGTCCCTGGACGACGGAAGTGCTTCGAACACTATGCATACTCGTAGGCGATGCTGGTCCTGGAATTTTTGTATCTGCCAGTCCCTAGGAAAGCACAAGAACTGTTCTCCAAGGAAAAGCTGTTGTTAAACAAGCTGTCCTCAACACAGCTTCAAATAAGAAATGATTCCCTTGTTGTAAAACCATTCCCCAGCTGATGACCAGATGAGAGATAATTTCACCACACTGCAGTAGCCCATCTTAATAGCACAGTTTACAGGCAATAACAGAATGCCATTAAACACACATGGTAAGGATCATTAGCACTCTCTTCAGCTATTGTTCCCTGTGGGAACTATAGCCTTCTGCAAGGTGATCTCCTGTTAAGCATGCAACACATGCATGTCACCAGCATAATTGCCATTCCCTTCCATCAACTTCTGCTGCACAATGCCTGCAAGGTGAGTGGGGCCATTGGTTCACTGATGAATGGCTGCTGGGTTTTTGTTCCGTTTTTTTTTACACCTTGTAGGCTAGTAGTCTCTACAGATTCTGAGAATGCAGGTACAGCTATCTTGCTGTTTGAGCACACACAAACACACACACACTCTCTCCTCTAAGCACAAGCAAACCAAAAAGATAAGGGAAAAGGGTATCACATAAAACACACCAGGATTCTTTTTGCTCTTTATGGGTCAAAAAAAGGCTGCATGCTGGAAAACTGGCAAAACCATGCCCACAATTCCAGGTAGTGTCAGCGGATACATATTAGGGGATTAGGTAGCAAAGAATCAGCATCTTGTTGGCTGCAGATGCCTAGTTCTTACTCATTCACAGTCTTGGTGAGGGGCATGCAATGGGAGCACATGCTCTAGATGAGAAAGTTCCTGAGATCACAAGTTTCAGATGCGCAACAGACAGAAAAGAGCCCTACCTGCAGCTTTGGAGAGGTGCCGCCAATGGGCATAGGGAGTACGGGCCTGAATAGTCACCATCTGACTAAGGCAGTGTGTATATACATATTCGGAAGTGCAATCGTAGATAGGGCATCCTATACACAATTAGGTGTACTGACATACTTTGCTTCCCTTGTATACTCTGCTAGGTTTCTTGTCTGCTGTAATCCCATTATCAATACTACAAAGACTTGTGCTAATTAATATGATTGCCTCCACATTACCCAAATGGCTTTTAGAAGTCTGTAATGTTAACTTGCCTGCAATTTAATTGAATTCCCCAGCAAGCTTTTCTGCATTTGAGCTTTTTCTGCATTTGAGACTAGTCACTAGAGCATAGTGGTGGTCAGGAGATGAACGTTTGCAGTGAGTTAAACATCCACCAAGCCATATCTTGGCTGCATTATCCTGATTCTCTTGATTTCATAAAGGTCCATGGTTGCTCAAGCCTGCTGATTCCAAGATCCACACTTCAAGTTCCTAAGAACCCTGTCATTTGATTCCAAGATCCACACTTCAAGTTCCTTAGAACCCTGTCATTATAATAATCATTTTCCATCAAGTCAATTCTAACTTATGGTGACCCTCTTCAGGATTTTACAGGTAGAGAATACTCAGAAGTGGTTTGCCATTCTCTTCAAGTCCTGGGATTGCAGCTTGCCCAAGGCTGCACAGGCTGGCTCTTCTCACAGGAGGCACAGTGGGGAACTGAATGCTCAACCTCTGGCTCTACAGCCAGATATCTAAATCATTGGGCTGCTTCTCAGATCCACTCCTCAAGTTCCTATGAACCCTGTCACACCATCTAAATTTCAACTTTCTGACAGCTGATCCACTTTGTCTCTGCTGATGAGCCACAGAACAAAGTGAACATTAAAAGACTCTTTCATCTGCTCACCTACTTGGTGTCAAATCAGACAGTTCTTTAGAGCTGCTTTCCCAACTGGTGAAAAGCATGCATCATAGGAAGTGATTTTCCTCATCTATGTATCTTGCTTCACGTTATGATTGTCACTGGAAGGTGAAAATTGATGTGATTTGCAAATTTAACTGCTGAGCGAAGTGTCCTTGTAAAAAAAAGCCTGCTGTGATAAGGAAGGGGAGTTACTCAGAAGGAATAACCATATTCCCCTTGACATCTACTTTGGACTACCAATCAAACTGAGTGGGGGGGGGGAAGGTAAGTTATCCATTATAATCTTTAGTTTATAGTGGATAATTTGTGATTATGCAGAGTTCTTGGATTGTAAGTCCTAGCATTCCTCATTATTGACTATGCTAACTAGGAATGATGAAACCATACAGGGCATGAAAACCTGGAGGGCTGCCTGTTGCCCACACCCTCTTTGTGTAGCAGTACAGTGAGCATCATGCAAAAGGTTTCATGCCAATGATGCAAAGATACAACACTTCACACTAACCACTACCTCAAAATGCATTGTGTAGCTTTTGAGAGTGACACTGCTTGATGACTCGGATGTATCAGCAACCCTCTCGAACTGAGATTAAGAAGGAAAGAAAGATGTTAATAGCATTTCTAAACAAGCGCCACGACACATGTTCCATGGTAAGGTTAGGTTGCAATAAATGTCAGCATTGAGTGGGCTGGTGGGCCGACAAGGAGATAGGCCACAAAAATTCGAGGATCTTCAGATGAAATGATGCTAATCTGCAGTGGCTGAGGAATTGCCCCATTATACAGAATCAGAAATTGGAAAGGTGTTAGCAGTGAAGGCTTATGGCAACTGAAAGCCAATTTGTTCTCTTCTGAGGCAAGTTGCATTCATGTTGTATGGGACTGCAGTGGCTGAGTGTTCCAGATTCAAGCCAGTAATTGAGTTAGGTGTAAAAACTGCACTTACAATTATCTGCACCGTATGCGATGTGACCTTGAAAAGTGATAATAAAACAGAGCGACTCCCTCAGTCTTATACGAGGAGAGAGAGGAAGAGAGCCATTGCCTAACAGTTCAGAAACATATTTCTCAAGTGTTTATGCAGACATATGCATTGCACAGGCGTGCCTTATCTAAGCTCTGTGATACCTGTGAAGACAAGACGACAGGGACTTGTAAAGGACTGGCAATAGGACGCTGATGGTGGGGATTATCAGTGAAAGAGGGTTTCTGGGTTTCTGCTTTTTGAAACATCATAGGTGCAGGAAATAAAGAGGGAATGACAAGACAGTAGAGAAAGCAAGGAATTAAAACACAGGAGATGCAAAAAGAGCAGCATGTTAGACAGTTAACCTTCCAAAATCAGGAATTAGGGACACTAGAAATATGGTGTTTTTTTTTAAATGTAAACTTCTCCCAGCTGTTGACATAGTGCAGAGAAAAGATTGTGTAATATGCTTTCAGTTTTATTCCACATGCTAGAAGACTACAGCAAATCTTCACAAGAAAAGTTAACTATTAGAAGCAATATTTTGATGAAAATAGTGGTTTAGTTTTGTAAGGTACTATTTCCTCCAACTTTGAGAAGGTAGGGATGTTAAGAAGAAGCTGCAGTAACAGAAATGATGAAGACAGACATGACATTCATTAGGCATGAACTAAACCAATTTGGGTTTTGCCTTCCATTTCCTCCCAAAACTCCTTTATAATAATAATAGTAACTGCATGTTGCCAAGTTCACTCTGACTTATGATGACCCTTTTCAGGGTTTTCCAGGTAGAGAAGATTCAGAAGTAGTTTACTATCCCCCTCTTCTGGAGGTGTGCTGGGACTGTGCAGCTTGGCCAAGGCCATACAATGCTGTCTGCATGAGGCCGCTGGGAGGGGTCATCAGGGGGTGTGGAGCTTCATGCGATCAGTACGCTGATGACACCCAGCTCTACATCTCCTTTTCTCCAACCACAGTGGATGCTGTTCCATCCCTTCAGCACTGCCTGGAGGCTGTACTGCAATGAATGCAGGAGAATGGACTGAGGCTGAACCCAGACAAGACAGAGGTCCTGAGGGTGGGTGGCCCCTCCATTGGTGGTTTGAGAAACTCCCTGTCTTTTGGGGAAGGGACTCTCACCGTGAAGAGTGAGGTTCGCAGCTTGGGTGTCCATCTGGATCCGACACTCACCATGGAAACCCAGGTGGCATCAGTGGTCCGCTCTGCCTATTTCTATCTGTGGCGGATTGACCAGCTGCATCCCTATCTTGATGTTGGGTCACTCACCCCTCTGGTCCATGCGCTTGTAATCGTGAGATTAGACTACTGTAATGCACTCTACATGGGGCTACCTTTGAGATTGATGTGGAAGCTTCAAATGGTGCAGAATGTGGTGGCCATTTCAGCATATTTCCCCACTCTAGCTGCCTTGCATTGGCTGCCCATTCATTTCCACATTGATTTCAAAGTGTTAATTATGACATAATGCCCTGAACGTACAAAGTTATACATTCCTCGGTTAAAGCAACAACAACAACAACAACAACAACAACAACAACAACAACAACAACAACAACAACAACAACAACAACAACAACAACAACGTGTTATCAGGTCAGTTCTGGCTTACGGCAACCCTTTTTCAAGGTTTTCTAGGTAGAGACTACTCAGAAGTGCATTACCATTCTCTTCCACTGGGGGCGCTGTGGGACCGTGCAGCTTGCCCAAGGCCACCCAGGCTGGCTCTGTTCACAGGAGGCACCGTAACCAAACTCCCAGCCTCTGACTCTACAGCCACATACCTAAACTACAGAGCTATCCAGCTGGCACAACATCCCTTCATACTTCTTGCGGGCTGGCTCTTCTCCCTGGAGACACAGTGTGGAATCGAACTCACAGCCTCTGACTCTACAGCAACATACCTAAACTACTGAGCTATCCTTCATACTTCTTGTGAAATACTTAGGATATTTGAAAGCTGTTCAGCACATCTTTTTATCAACAGCTGCCTTTGCATAGAAGCAACTAGTGCTGCAGCTGTTTGCTCTATTTTCTTTCTCCCTGTCTTTCACTTGTCTTGGCTTCTGTCTTATTTACGCTCATTTCTATCTGGGTACCTTATGCCACTTGATTTTTTTTTTTCATGGAAATAATCGTCATCTACCAACAAAAACTGCATGGCCCTCTACTACCAATCTGACTAAACAACCATGAAGGCAGAGGGCAAATGAGAAAGCAGACAGTGAGTGGAAGAGAGGAGGCAGTGGCAATAAAATGGATAAGGGAATAGGACACTGCAATGCAAACAGAAGGACCTACAGACACCTACATGTGGAGTGCAAGAGGTTGTTATTTTACACTGGGAACATGAATGTCCCCATTCTGAAATGAATATTTAATTTAATTTAAAGAATATCTTATATAGATGCATTTATAAGTATATCAAGATTAATCAAGCAAATACTATTTTTTCCAAAAAATGCTTGCATCTGTAGGTACTGTTTATAGCACACTATTTAAAAAAATATTAAGTGTTTTGTACTGTTTCAGGTATTTAATTTACTGGAATGGGGAGGATATAGTATGTGTAACAATACACAAATTTCCAAAAAATGCTTGCATCTGTAGGTACTGTGTATAGCACACTATTTAAAAAATATTAAGTGTTCTTCTTCGTGGCCTCTGTGAATACACACATATGGGTTTAGTCTGCGCCTGCGCTGACATTCTCGGAGCATTCCAGAGCTAAAAGTAACAATTTTATGGTATGATCCCCCATGAGGCACAAGCTCCTCCCACCCAAGATTCCCCTCAGTTCCTGTAATTTGTCCGCCGGGCACAAGAGTTATATAACAATAAGATACCCGTGACGGACAGAGGGGAGGATGGGCGGGTAGTGTGAATTCACAGAGGTCCACTCGAAGAACCATGGTTACAGGTAAGTAACCTTTCTTTTTGTACTGTTTCAGGTATTTAATTTACTGGAATGCGGAATAGCAGCTTCCCATTAGTTTCTATGGACGGAAAAGAGCAGATACGGATCAAATGGTTTTCAATGCATTCCTATGGGAAATGCAGATTTGACTTGAGAACTTTTTGACTTGAGAACCGCCTTCCAATACGGATTAAGTTCTCAAGTCAAGACCCCACTGTAGTAGCATGGTTTAGAGATTTACGTCTTGACTTTTTGGTGATCTCTGCTTAGATGAGGTTTCCCCCTGCATTGTTGGCCTAAAGGATTGGGCTGGGCTAAATCTAGAAACCTGAGAAGAGATATTGGCAACAGCCCTTTGCAGGGCCTTGCCTATATACCAGACATTGTACAAAGCTAAGTCTGTGATATCTAGACGGTGATATCTAGAAGACCCTTAGAAAGCTGCCAACACACATTGCTTACAAATGGACAGCAATGATGCATGCATGGAACAACTGAAAATACTGCTTTATTTTATTTATTTATCGATTTATTGGTTGTTTGGCTAGTTGAATTTATATCCATTCCTCTAGTGAGCTCAAGGCCCTGTGTGGTGGGAAAGTCAAAGGGACTGTAATTGGCCCATTACTTACTGCCATTGATGCTTTTGACCTTGGGGAGAGGAGTGTATGTGAGGCCCTCAGGTATGACACAAGCTTACATTTTCATCTCTTACAGTATTTTCTAACAAACTTTTAAAATTAGTGCTGGAGGGCAAAAACGCCATTCTGGGAAGTCTGGTAAGATCACAGAGAAGATGGAAGGACCATTGTTCTTCATGTTTTCTACCTCTCCTTCCTAATCCAAAATAACTTTCTGCTACAAGAACAAGGACCCTCCAACAGGATAGCTCTATAGAATTTCTTGGGCAGTTCACATCATTAGCACTTCAAGGAGGTTTTCTGGAGGGCTCCTAGTCAATCAGATGAGTTGTTCATACTCCATCTGGCTTGTATTTTGTTTGTTTTTACAAGAGAAAGAAGATGTTTAAGAAAGAGAAGGAAAGGCCAGTGGAAACATGGAAGTGGAATATGCTACTTTTAAAAACACACAAAACAAACAAAAAAACCAACAATTCTGACTTCATTCCTGAAGAGAAGAAAGTCCAGGATATTGTTACTCTGAGAGAACAGAGACATTGGCAGTCATTGCCATGGGAAAGGAACTAGATTTCAGTAGCATGTTTTACTAGTCTGACTTGATTCAGGTCAACTTTTGTGCCCCTAAAGTCCCTTAGGATGCTGAAAACAGAAGCAGAAGGCAGAGCAGAGGTGAGACCAGGGGTAGACTGGAGAGTATGAGCAGTGACTTAAGAAGGGTCCTTCATGACACTCTTACTGTTGTAAAGGGAATGCCTGAATTAAACATGCAAGACACACACAGACCTCCTCTCTTCCCTTCCTAACATTTGCTGCTTTTCACATTTCAACTTAAAATAATAAAACTTCACTCTTAATTTTTCATGTATATGCCTGATGATTTTCTTTCAGCTACAAGTGACTGTTCCTATAAACCTTCACAACAAACCAGCCTCTTTTCAAACCTCATTTTAATGTATCAGAAAGCTAAATAAAATTGGTTAAACAGTCCCTAATTTAGCCTTTACAATCAGCCCTAGTCACCATAGAAATGTTGCTGAGTGTAGCATCCCCGGGCTCCTGAGGGTCATTTTTGAAACACAAACATTTTCCTTTAAGGCACCCACTTGGCCCTCTAACTCAGTAATGCTCTAGGAGTAGCCATGCAACTGACAAGTCCTTAAGGGTCTACATAAAAATTAAAATTGTCGGCTTGCTGTACACTTTAAAAGGCTTTTAACGAAGGCCCCGGCCATGAAAATGACAGAAACATTTAAGCACGCTGTTCAATTTGAAGGGGAGAAAACACAGCACATGTGGGAGCTGAGAAAAGGCTAGCGATGTAAGATCGCAACGGTGTCTTTAGAAAGGCACAAGGCACCGATTAAAAAAACTGTGCTCAAATTAGACAACTTTCCCAAGTTTCAAATCCTGAGAGGTAGAGTTCTCTTTTCCTTAGATATCACCTGACCAAAATTAAGCACTTGGAAGTCCCTTTACAGATTTCAGCAGGTGAGAAATTGGGGAGAAATAGACCTTGCATTCAAAAATTCTAAAAATTAGGTGCACTTATCTGTGTAGTGTGTTTTCCCATCTATATTCCACATCTGCTATGGGGGAAGGATGTGACTGAAATGTATATACCTAAATCTTGTGGGAAGAGGGGGACAAGACAACACAGGCCTGCTGTTACCATTAGCAGACCAAGCCACTGTGAAAACATAAGACTGCAGGCCTGCTGTTACCATTAGCAGACCAAGATAGAGCATAATACCTTAAGCACATATGCTCAGCAAATTCAGCCACTGTGAAAACATAAGACTTCCAAAGACTATGTTAGATGCATTGTTCCCTTTTGTCCTATTTGTAAATGAAAAATGAAAGAGGGCTCATGCTTTTAAAAGTTTTGTTACAGAAATGGTTAATGTAAACTAGATTTTATATACAATGGCCTCCAACCATTACTTCCATAGTAACATCTGCTGTTTTTCCATAGGCGTTTGCTTTGAAAGGGTACTTTTGGTCTACTGCAGAAGTTAAAAAGTTTGTGTCACTGTAGGAAGGTATGCGCAGGTGCAGGCATGCACCTGTTCTTAATCATCCCAGAGTGCAGGATACTTGGATTAAGCTACAGGAAGACAGATTGTTGTACTGCTCTAACAGTATTTAACTGTTTGAGCAGTACAACAACGGAACCAATTACCTTGGGAGGTGGTGAGCATTCCAATACTGGAGGCATTCAAGAAAAAAATGGACAGCCATCTGTCAGATCTGCTTTGATTTGGATTCCAGCACTGAGCGGGGTGGTTGGAATCAATGGCTTTATAGGCCCTTTCCAACTCAATTATTCTAGGATTCTATGATTTACATGTGCAAATTAGATATATACATTCTTGTTTGTCTCTCTCTCATGCACAAGAGAGAGAAACTGCATGTTTTTCCTCAGATGAGATGATTTTCTATTAGCCTCAAGAAGTTTGCAAATTTGTGGGAACTATTTTTGTACAAATAAAACTGTGTGAAGTTATGGTATCTGCTTTTCTGTTTCACACGTGTTTAAGAATTAGAAGGACTGGACAGGTGGTCTATACCCTTTTGAACCATCAGCAGGTCCTGTCCTCTATATTCAGTCTCTGTATATATGCATTTGTTCCACAAATGGAAAAGATATTAGTTTTGTGTGGAGATGCTCCTGCCTTGCCCAAAATACAGATTTTGGGGGGTGGGGTGGGGTGGGAGATGAAATCCTTGTTCCATTCTTGATTCTTGTGTTAGAAACAAGGAATTCTGAGTGGGAGTGATAGAAAATTCCTCATCAAGGCACCTAGTTGTCTTGAGACAGCCTAAATAAATGAGAAGGAGGAATTTATCAAGTCTTTTTGATATTTGTTTTACAGAGCTCTACATATACACAGTCACCTACACACATACACTAAAACAGGGAACAAGTTCAGTGGGATTCTGTTCACGAAACAAATCACAGGCTGGGCATTGTACCATGTGCGTTTCTCCTTGTGAATAGACGCTCATTGGAGACATCCTCTTCTGAAGTGGGACCAAAGGAGGCCTTTCCCGTGCGTAAGGCTGCTTACTGATTTTCCGCTGTAGAATCAGGGATAGAAAAACTGCCAGAAGGAGCAAGCCGAGGATGGCCATCAGGACCACAAACCACAGCTCTGTGTAGAAGGTTGCTTGTTTCCTTCCTGCTTCCTCATTTTTTCCTGGGGTTGTTAGTACAGGACCTGTAAAATTGAGGGAAGGAAGCACCAGAGATGATGGAAGGGTAAGAGAGAGGTGGTTTTAGAAGGCAAATGTTTTGTATGATGTATTTGCTCCCCTTATTTGATTTTATAAGGTGATAGAAGGATGCTGGTGGCAGTTTGTCACACAGGCTGCTCGTTTTCAAGATGCTGCAGTGGCTTAATATGCTAGCAGCCGGGAATGTAAAGCTTACTGCACTCTGGAGACTGTGTTTTAAGTCCTGGCGTTGATGCCTAGCTTGAAAATCAACCCCACACAGGCTCCTACGGGGTAAACGGAGGTGGGGGTATATATGTCGAAGCTCTGGCAAATTCATCAAAGTAACCTTGGAACAGCTGAAACAATTATCAAGTCTTCCTCCCCCTTTTTTTCTCCTTTTTTTTTTAAAGAGTAGGCATGTTGCAAAAAGCTTTCTTGTGCTCAAGCCAAAGAAATCAGAAACACTGTGGTCAATTGTAACCCTTGAAGAGGCTTTAAAGGAGTAAAGAAACAGGAAGTGAGACTGGAAAAGAACTATTTGAAATGGTAAACAGAAATAAATGTCTCAAATGAGTTCAAACAAAGAGCCACCAACAGACTTCATTCAGAGCTGTGCACAAGATTATTCATCTGATTTGGAGGCCAATTTCAACTAAACCCTGATTGTGTCGGAAGCAATTTGCACCCTGGGTCTGAATCAATTTGTAAATCTATCATTGACTTCTCTTGGAAAATCAAAATAGATATAAACTGATCTAATGTTTGCACTGATGTACAAAATCATGTACATGATATATGCAAACTTACTAGATCTTAAAGTGGGGGAGGGGCAAAAACTTGCCAAATTTCGGACAGCTTACTGAAGGTAAGGCACCGTTACAGTTTTCTTTTTAGAAGGCTGAAGTGATTTGTGTATTCGATCCGATCCGATTTTATGCTCTAGGGAAAATTTGGAGTGACCTGGTTCAGACTTAAAAGGTTTTTAGCTTCAGTGCAACCTATTTTAGCTCTCACTTGAGCAACTGGGTGAACTTACTCATGAGTATAAGGGCGAACACAAGTTTCTGGATCACCATATTGTACCAAAAGCCACCTCCAGTGTACAATTGCACTGGATCATTAATGAAATGTTTATCAAAGGAGATGAAAATTAAGGAAGAGGTTTCTCCATCCTCCCTTTTAATGTCAAAACTCACCTAATACATCACAGGGTTGTCACATGAAATAACAATTCCCAGATATTTGTTTGGATGCGAACTAACCATCTGCACAGGCTACACAATGGCGTAATAAGGAGTGCCCAGAATCGTGCCCCCAAACCCTGAAGCCCTTTTACTGTGCCAGAAAGAACTGGGACGGCTCTAAAAAGGGACGAGAAGGGGTGCTGCAAGTCAAAACACATGTGGACGCCATAATTTGGTTTGAACCAAACTATAGCAAAAGTGATCCAAATAGTGATCTATATCTTGCTAGATAAGCCTTACTTTGCTTCATTCTGGTACTAAATTCTGCTTTGATCCTGACCTCAAATCAGACAGAATCAAGCAATTTCCATTGTAATTTTCATTTGAATTCATCGCACAGCCCTAGTTTCATTGGTCTTTCTCTATCCTAGAGTCTCCTTTACAAGTCAGCTATTTGGGTTGAATCCTTCTGGATTATTTTCAACAACAGCCATATCAATGAAAATAATTAGGGAATGCTGAGAAAAGTAAGAAAATGAAACCAAGCCGTTCTCCCATGATCTGAATGAATGACAACTGCTCAAATGCTTTCAGTCCAAGATCATATCTATCGGTGTGCCAACCTGCATGTAATACAGTTAGTTGCAGTAATTCAGACAAGGCTTGGAAGGGGGACCAGAACTGTTTCACATGACTGCAGTGATTGAAATGTGATGGGAATGTAGGTAAATGGGATCAACATCCAAGCGAAGCCCACCTAGCCATAAAGCAATAATGCCACTCAGAGGTGTCATTGTAGGTGTCACTGGGAAGCACTTTCGGCAGCCAGCCAGCTGCAAAATGTACCCAGCAGTGGGGGCAACAATTGCTGACATTCCTAGTGAGCTCGCATCCTTCATGGCTTCCCCCACATGATATGTGCGGAGTTTTTCCAGGCCTGATGCTACTACTGAGGCTGCTAGTTGATTCACCCCAAGCTGTGAGAGGCCTTTACCTTGGCTCTGACTTGTTCCTGTCACTGACAAAAGCTTGTACATTGGTTCCACACTCTGTGCTTGAAATGGCACAGTAGGCTCAAGGGCAAGTACTCACTGGTTTTCTTGATAGCCCCTCCCCTTGCCTTTGGCTTTTTGGTGCTCTGATTTTGCATAAGCCCAACTCATATCAGAATATTATTACAGTCGTGCCTCGCTTAACGAGGAAATCGCTATACGATTAGCTTTTTGCAATCGCTTTTGCGATTGCAAAACAATGTTTTAAATGGGTTTTTTTCGTTTAACGATGATCGGTTCCCTGCTTTGGGAACTGATTTTCACTTTATGAAGATCAGCAAACAGCTGATTGTTGGGTTTCAAAATGGCCGCTGGCGGAAGAAAATGCCCCCCCGCTGTTTTCTAGGATGGATTCCTCACTTTACAGGCACTGAAAATGGCCGCCGTATGGAGGATCTTCGCTGGATGAGCAGGTATTCAGCCCATTGGAACACAATGAACGGTTTTCAATGCGTTTCAATGGGTTTTTGAATTTCGTTTGATGATGTTTTCGCTCTACAGCGATTTCGCTGGAACGAATTAACATTGTCAAGCAAGGCACCACTGTATATTTCTTGTCAACACTGTGGCAAAGAATTACATTTCCCTCCACACCCTTCCAGTTCAGAGGCTCCATTAGGCTTCTGGATAGCTGTTGTTTGCATAACACATATGTGCACCTTTTAATCGGTATCATCGTGTGGTATCAAGTCATAAGTCATTCTGACTTACGGCAACTCGTTTCACTGTTTTCCAGGTAGAGAATGTTCAGAAGTAGTTTACCATTCCCCCCTTCTGGGGATGACCTGAGACTGCGCAGCTTGCTCAAGGCCACACAAATTGGCTCTATTTGGTGGAGGCACAGTGGGGAATTAAACTCCCAACCTTTAGCTCTCTAGCCAGATACCCAAACCACTCAGCTATCATGCAAATGGAATCACATTTAGTTTGTCCATTGGTCAAAGGGATGCAAAGCGCCAAGTGTTCTGGACATGAATACATCTAGGCACATGTTAGGCAACTATTGGTACACAAAGACTAAAAGCAATTTTAAAAACATTTTAAAACATTTAAAACTTTCCTAAGAGATAGGCTTTCATGCATTGTTTTCATCAGTTACTTATTGAGCTTTAGAGCAAGTAATAATCTACTAAGATTTAATGGGATTTTCTGTAATCATATTTTTACTTCCACCAATACATTTTTTCACATTTAAACTTTGTTCTTCTTTTTGTATCACTGATTTGCATGTTAAGTGTAGTATAATTTAAAACAAACAACCAGCTATTGGCAGCTACCAGAACACAGAAGTCTTACTATATGTTTACTATCCCCAGCTATTTGATCTGTCTGAAATACTCAAAAAGACTTTGGGAAATGGTTGTTGTGGGTTTTTCGGGCTCTTTGGCCATGTTCTGAAGGTTGTTCTTCCTAACGTCTCACCAGTCTCTGTGACCAGCATCTTCAAAAGACAGGAGTCAGAAGTCTGTGCTCTGCATTCTCTGCCTGGAAAACACTGAAACGGAACTTTGGGAAATGTTCTGTTCTTTGGCTCATCTACACCAGTTGTACTTGATCTTCCACTGTGCAAAATAAGAACAGATCCAAAGAATGGCTTAGTTTATGTTTTTTGTTTTACTGCTAAGCTGCCAGACATATTCTACAGCCCAGCCACATTCTCATTTCCTTCTGCTTCCAATTCTGATTACTGAGGAACAACACTGGAAAAGAGTTTAAGTGCTTGTATCCTGATTGTGGGCTTCCCAAACTTACCTGGTCAGTCACTGTGGACAACAGGATGCTAAGTGAGATAGGCCTTTAGGCCTTTTTTTTTGGTCTTCCAGGACTCTAATGCACCTTTGCTTGAAGGCTTAAGTGAGGAAACCCCCCAGAATGTTATATGTCTTGAAGCATGAAAGAACACTGATGCAATGAAGATTGCGCAACGTATCTCCTTCTGTAGAGCTAGCCTGATGTGTTTCACAGTAATAAACTGATATTCCACAGTAAATTCACACACAATGAACTGTAAGAATATGTCTTTCAGCATTTACCAAGTCCTGCAGCAGAGTTGTATTTGATCACTGGCGTTACTGCACTCCCTTCGTCAGTGGTACAGATCACCTGAAATGAATAGGCTGAACAAAACAGGGGGGTTATATGAATATGACATCATGTCATTTCATTCTTCTGTTCATTAAACAGAGAGAGAAAGAGTAGTCATTTTTGAAATGAACAGTGATTTTGAAACATGAAGTATGATCTGTCACCACATCAATAGACATGTATGCCAGAGTGGGCAAATTCCAAAAGTCTCCTTGCCCCTTGATCTTGGAATGCCACACCCGTGTCCCCTTCGTCAGTGGTACAGATCACCTGAAAAGAATAGGCTGAACAAAACACAGGGGTTATATGAATATGGCATCGTGTCATTTCATTCTTCTGTTTATTAAACAGAGAGAGAAAGAGTAGACATTTTTGAACTGAACAGTGATTTTGAAACATGAAGTATGATCTGTTACCACATCAATAGACATGTACGCCAGAGTGGGCAAATTCCAGAAGTCTCCTTGCCCCTTGATCTTGGAATGTCACACCCATGTTTACACCTGATCCACTTTTAAATGTTGTCTTTGAAAAATCCTAAACAAACTCTAAGCCTCACATCTCTAAGTAGCCACAAAAAACTGAGATGGAGGGCAATCAGGATGCAGAAAAATGGCAAATTGCTTCCTACAACCCCTAGAGGGCACAAGGAGAATTTTCGAGCAAACAATCATTATTTTTTTGTTAAATCATGTGGGCTGGTTGTCCCGCCACCCCCCAAATGTGGAGAGAGGTACATTTTGGTTCTGTCTGTCAGTCAAATGAGTCATAATTCTTCAGTCATATGGGTAAGCATGGAGTATTACTGTCACATTTAGCATCAACTATAAGCTGCTTTGAGGATCATTTGATTGAACTGTCTGGTAAACAACTATCTTATACAAGTCATTACACATAACACACATTACTCTACAAATAAACAATTGTAAAACTCAAACTGACTTTTGTCTGATGTCCTTGGTAAATATAGTACGGTGTCAAAACCACTGTAGATACGTTGCCCTCCCTCCATTAGCACATATTCCTTTAGCGGCCCATTCAGTAGGAAGCTGTGACTCCAGTCAAGGTAGATGGTGGATAAATTGCTGACCACTGTAAATGGAGCTTTGTATTGAGGTGCTGGCAAAAGAAAACAGAGAGGCGAGTTCATCTATAAATTGAGAGAAATGCCTTTAATTTTTCAAGATTAAATACATCAATATGAGCTCTAGTCTTTTTACCCTCATTTAGATATGGAGCAGAAAGACATTATATGGGTACCTCTGTATAGCTTGCTCCAGCTGGAAAATGGGACATTCCAGTTCTTAACATCCATACCAAGCACTTTCCAGTGTTTTATAGACTTTACATACATTCACTCAATGCTTTCAACACCACACTTTAGGAAATACGACTTTGTTTGAAATGCAAGTCCACCTAATGCCACCAGCTTCCTGATGTTCTTTTTCTGCAGTCTCCTAGGAAGCACCAATGAAAAGAAGAAGCTGGCTCCTGGGAAGGCTGCTTATAATACAAAGCAAAAGCTAAAGGGTGGACAATGTGTGGCTCTCCAGCTGTTACTGGACTAAAATATGGTCTAGATCAGTGGTTCCCAACCTTTTTAAGCCCGCGGACTGGTTGGGGAAGGTGGGCCCCTCCCCTCGCTCATGTGCATGCGTGAAGAGTAGTGCGGCACATGGGGGCACTTGTGCACATGTGCAAAGGGTAGGTGCAGGTATGCGCAGGCAGGTGCAAAGAGGCAGTGCGGGGGGGAAGTGCCTGTGGGGGTGGAGGGGAGGTCTGTCTCCATGGCTCAGACCAGCTCAGGACACGGACCGGCACTGGGCCGCAGACTGGAGGTTGGGGACCTCTGGTCTAGATGATGCAAGTCCAACAATATCTAGAAGACTACATGATCATAATCCCTGAGTAAGAACCTCTGGGCTTGACTCCAACAGCAAGCAGGTTCTGAGCCTCCCTAAGTGTTGTTTTTCCTGATTCTTATCATCTTGGCCTTGCTCTGTCTTGTCACTGCTGTTCTGTTTTCAGCTTTCCCCTGATCCGGCTTCATTATCCATTATTCATCTCCTGGTTTACTCTCTGATACAGATGTGCATTCCTGTCCTCATATATCAGGTACAGATTGAGACTGAAAGATACTGTTTGCCTTTGGTGACTTGGCTCAGAACCCTCATTATTAAAATACACTCAAGTCTTTGCTTGCTGTGATAGGTCAGATAGAGTGACAGTGGGATCCATGTGGCTAAGCACTCCTTCAGTTCTCCCAATGTTTCTAAGGCAGTGTGGAATGTGTGGTCTTCCACATACTGCTGGGTTCTGACTCCCATAATTCCTCAATGTTGACACTCCACCAACATCTACAGGGTGTGTTCCAAGGTAGCTAGGACCTTTATAGTGGTTTAAACCGTCTCTGAAATAGCTGGCAAACTCCTGTTCGTTCAACACACTCTTGTTTGTGTGGCTCAACAGTTCTTGAGTTTGTGCAAGGACGTATTACTAGATATCTCATTACACAAGCTCAGAAGCTGTCCTGTCTCTCACTCAACAGACAGTTCCATGAGCAGAAGGAATGAACGGGATTCTACCCAGCATTTCTAGTAAGCCTGGTCCTGACCTTTTTTAAAAAAAATCTTTTTGGCACCAAATTTAAGTTTCATCATCCAGGGCTTTTGGATGCTGTATGATGTAACTTTATCCAGCCATCTGAACTGAGTATGTCCAATGCTATGAATTATGTTCAATATTATATAAAATATACAAAGAATCTATTTGTTATATTAAATCAATATTTAAAATAAATCAGTCCCCCAAAGTAAAGGGACTTAATTTTTTATCTTCAATCTACGTTGCTTATAAAAATGAATGCATGCCAAAAGGACATTATTCACTTTCGGCTTTTTATTTTTCATTTCAGAGATAGTTAGGAAGGCTGATCAACAGCCACCTAATATAATAGAATTCACTGCTCTGTATAGTCCATCAGTAACATAACACATTACTGCATAATCAAACACTAAAAACTATATATTAAATCTGAATATTACGATGAAAATGGGCTTTTGAATATGGAGCAGGTGCATTAATTAGCAGTAATTTTCACTTTGCACTAAGCAACTTCACCAGCAACTTCTTTGTTAATTACATATTTTGGAACCTTGAAAGGAAAAAGAAACAAAGACCCACAGTGCTCTCACAACAGATCTGAGGAGCTGATGGAGTTAACAAACTGAATAAATTAATACAGTAATTAACTAACTAGACTATATCATAAGTGTGACCTGTAATGATGGCTCCTGAGAGGCCAACCTTTCATTGCAAACACAGTGTAGTAAAGCCACAGAGAAGTCTACTTTTCAGATCACTAATCTTTAGTAACCTCAGCACCAAATGAAGCTGTTAATGAAAACGGGAATGTATTGAAATATGATGGCATAAATACTGAGCCAGGCAATTTTTAAATTCAGTGGCAAGTAATGGTCTTCAAAAGCAAGATGACCCATATAGTGGCAAATACAGGTATTTTGGGTGTATTTCTCTGTTTTCCAATATCTGTATCCTATAGTTCACTAGTACAAGCTTCATTTGGGGGTGTTAAGGGATTCTGAGGGTGCTCATTTAGTGTACTGGGGGGATCCTACAGCACTGGGGTATTCTGGAACTTACAATCCCAAAAAATTACTTTCTTCCCAAAATTCTAGGAATGGAGAGGAATTCTGGGAGTGGCACCACTAAAACAACATAAAGTTGCAAGTCCAATAATCAAAATCTGTTACAACCTGGATCTCAGACTGGAATTCTTCACAGCCTAACTTTTTTTAAAAAAGCATGCAAAGCTAATTCTGATGGGGTAGGCTTTTAATTGCTACACAGACAGCCCTCATATGGTATGTTCATTTGTTAGGGGATTCACACACAGGCTCAGTTCTTTGTATGGGACTCAATCAGAGTGGCAGCATTCCTGGAAGTGGTGGAAATCAGACAGAATGTAATTTTCACATCCACCTATGCAAACCTACCTTCTTTTTTGGTGGTGAAGGTGATCCAGTCTGAAAATGTGCTGCCTACCGAATTATATGACACCACTCTCAGCTTGTAGGTTGTATAGGGCTGTAGATCAGTTACAATGGAATGCTGGCTATTTCCTGTGTACCTCGTTTCAACTGGGCCAGGTTTACAAGACCTTTCTAGTGACTGCAAGTGAGGAAGGCAGGTTGGATACATGTGGAGTTCATACCTGGAGGAGCAAATAAGAATAGCACTGAACAATGCATCACTGCTTAGTGAACAAAATTCATTATCTATAAGTATCTGGGCACAGAACATACAAAAGGACCTGTTCCCAAAATGATTGTTCCCAAATTCTAATACACCACAATCAACAATTGAATTATATGCCCATAAATGGCCAAAATCAGGTTTTGCAGGGACAGAGACCCTGATAAAAGACCCTTTTCAATTTCAGGGAGGACATAGCTCACAAACAGTAAGGAGTCGTGTGCATTCCATTTTTTAAAAAAATAAGTTTTTAATCAGTGGCAATCTGCTGTTGATGATAATATAATTCCTTTTGTGCCTGTGGAAACCTCTCAACAGGATTTGGGCCAATTATTATTTACAACTAAAGTTCATGCCAATATAATAAAAAGAACCATTGAAGAGATAACATTTGGATCACTAATCTAGCATAGCGAAGCAATGAATGTAAACTAACTCCAGTTCCTAAGCAGTAGCTGTCATATTGTGAAGAAAGAGCACCAGACATCAGAAGTTCGAAATCACCTTCTCACAATGCCGTTGGGCTCCTGAGGTGTATCCCAATGAAAAGAGGCAGTCCTTGAGGTCATGCTGTCTACGTAGGGAGGAGGCTGCTGTGCAGGGGGAGCTGGCTGTGTGGTGACTTGTGCCACTGGTCCTTTGCTGCAACAACTGAAGCAAGTACAGGCTTCAACCCCAACTGAATAGGTGGTAAAAGGCTTGAGCCCATGGATGGTTTGCTGAGTGGCAGTTCCTTCTGATAGCTGGTAAGACAGAGAGGTGCACAGTGAAAAGATAACTGCTGCAACAACTGAAGCAAGTACAGGCTTCAACCCCAACTGAATAGGTGGTAAAAGGCTTGAGCCCATGGATGGTTTGCTGAGTGGCTGTTCCTTCTGATAGCTGGTAAGACAGAGGAGAGGTGCACAGTGAAAAGATAAAGGCAGATAATGTCAAGCAGATTTGAACAGAAGGACCATTAGCTAAATCAGCCATGGTAAGGCTTATGACTTATCATCTTTTACTAAAGCAGGGTTAGACTGAAATCCTATTGCTTTGCATAGTAAGTTTCACCATAGTGTCCCCATTGAATCAATGGGGATTTGGTGAGGCAACTTCTCCAAAAGTTTTATTAATTCAAATAGGTCTCCTCTAGCTGCTTCTTACTGTGCTCAGCAACAGGATTTCAGTCAACATGTCTGTGTGGACTGAAGAGAGGCTGCTCCTCTGACACTTGCACAAAACTCTTCTGAAAAGTGATCGGTTTCCCTCAAATATGTAGTTGTATTAGCTATGGAAATAATAGTCACTAAATCCTTCATTCTCATTGACACCTACTGTCAAAGACACCTAGATGAAGAGTGTTAATGCCCCATGAGAATCCTCAACTTCAGCAGGAGGGGAGACATTAACATCCTTTTTCTCTTTTGAAATTAATTCCTGGTGTTCATACTAAATGTTCATACATTTCTGGCATTCATACTAAATTGTGAACACCAAGAATGTATGAAAATTTACAGGTGGCTGTGAAGGCAAGAGGAGAAAGGGACGACAGAGGATGAGATGGTTGGACAGTGTCATCGAAGCAAACAATATGAATTTGACACAACTCCGGGAGGCATTGGAAGATAGGAGGGCCTGGCGGGGTCACGAAGAGTTGGACATGGCTAAACGACTAAATGAAGATGTACATATACCACATTCTATGTATAGAAAAGATGTGGGGGGAGGGCCTCTGCCATTCCTTCCCTTGGCCTGGTCCTTATAGACCTCCATACAGTGAGCAGAGAAGACAACTGGCAGGCACTATACTCTTCCACTTAGAAAACTGGCTGTTCCACCTAACAAGGTAGGCTGGCTACAGGATTGCAGACAGACACAAGATGACAGGCATAATTTATAAGAACTTGCAGTTATCTAAAACAGTGGTTCCTAACCTTGGGTGCCTAGATATTCTTGGACTACATCTCCCAGAAATCTTGGCCAGCACAGCTAGTGCTGGCCAAGATTTCTGACTTCTGGGAGTTTTAGTCCAAGAATATACTACAAGCAATACTACAGCAAGAAGGATCTTGGAATTGTCGTAGATCACAAGCTGAACATGAGGTAACAGTGTGATGTGGCCACAAAACAAGCAAATGCTATTTTAGGCTGTATTAACAGACGTACTAGTTCCCCTCTATTCAGCAATGGTTAGGCCTCATATTGAGTATTGTGTCCAGTTTTGGACACTGCACTTCAAGAAGGATGATAACAATTTGGAACAATTTCATTGGAGAACAACAGGGATGATCAGGGGGCTAGAAACCAAGCCTTATGCGGAAAGACTGAAAGAATTGGGCATGTTTAGCCTTGAGAAAAGAAGATTGAGGGGAGATATGATCGCACTTTTCAAATACTTAAAAGGTTGTCATACAGAGGAGGGTTGAGTTCTCTTCTCAGATACTTAAAAGGCTGTCATACAGAGGAGGGTCGAGTTCTCAGTCATCCCAGACTGCAAGACATGCAACAATGAACTCAAGTTACAAGAAGTCAGATTTCAGTTGAATAGCAAGAAAAACTTCCTAACTGTTAGAGCAGTACAGCAATGGAATCAATTACCTGGACAGGTGGTGAGTGCTCCAATGCTTGAGGCATTGAGAGAAATTTAGAGAAACAAATGGCAAATATCCTTTGATTTGTATTCCTGCATTGAGCAGGGGGTTGGACCCAATGACCTTGTAGGCCCCTTCCAATTTCATTATTCTATGATTCTATGAACCCAAGGTTGGGAACCACTATTCTAGAGAATAAACCAATAAAGAAAGCAGACCTTAAAGTACAGTGGTGCCTCGCTTAACAGGCAGCCCCATTTAACGACGAATCTGCATAGCGACAATTTTTTTGTGATCGCATTGCTATGATTTAGATAGGGAAAAATCGCTTCATGATGATTGGTACCCTGTTTTGCATACTGATCATCGCACAGCGATGATTTCCCAACAGCTGATCGGCGGTTCCAAAATGCCCACCGGGTTAAAAAAATGGCCACCCGCTGTGTTTTCGCCCGGATTCCCCGCTTACCGGGCAGCGAAAATGGCGGCCATATGGAGGATTTTCATTTTAAGGTGAGTTTGAAGCCCATAGGAACGCATTGAAAGGGTTTCAATGCATTCCTATGGGCTTTTTAAACCTGCATAGCGACGAAATTGCTTTGCAGTGATTTTTGCTGCACGGATTATCATCGCTATGCGGGGCACCACTGTATACAGTAAGACACCCTTATCTATGGGCACAGTATCTGCTGATTCATTTATTCATGGGCTGAAAATCTGAAAATCTTGCAGAGTGCAGGTGGCTTACAAGTCGAATAAATAAAAATAAATAAATAAAATCCTAGAAATAAATATTTCTAAAGATGATGTTACCAGAACTGGTGACTAGAGAGAGTCAGAGAAAATTAAGTAAAATGATATTTTTCAATTAGTGATATTTTCCCCTTAAAAAAAAAAAATTTAAAAAATTCGCTCACCACTACATCTTTTCCTTTGGTATTGTTTGAGTATAGTCTGTAGAGGCTGACTATTCCATTTGGCTTAAGGGGAGGGCTGATGTTCACCACCGCTGAAGTAGAAGCTACTGTGTCAAATAGGGGTGCGTGAAGTCCTTGAGGTGGGGCTGGCCCTGTCCTGCACGGTGTCCAACTGCTAGCAGTCCGGCCTGCAGAGTTTATTGACCAAACCTGAAAAACATGAAAAATGGCTTTGGAGAAGGGAATCATATTCAGCAATTCTATTCAAACAGCCCTACAGTATTTTTATGTATCCAGGAAGCTGTTTTTAGAAGTGTGTTGCCTGCTTTCCTCTCAATAGCATTTGAAGCAGTAAACAAGGGACTTAAAACACATAAAAATACAATTCAATGTAAAATATAGGGCATATAGAATAAACCAGCAGTAAAACATATGGAATAAGAGGACAGAGCCAAATTCTACTACCTAGGACAAAACAGAATGAGAGCAAATTAAAGCAAATAATAAATTAAATAAGTACAGTCAATCAAAATGGGGTACACTTTGCCCTGTGCTTAAAAATGACAAGGGAAATCTAGTGGACTATATTATATAGATAAAAGAGGCTCGGAGAACTTAATAATGCCTGTGAATACAAAATTCCCAAACTAACTTTTTAATGTTGTCTTGATGCTAACAGGGTGACTATGCTAAGGGGCAACATTTTGGCACTGGCACATTAATATGGCTAACCATGGCAGAGGACACAGATATCATTAGAGAGCATGGGAATTAGCAGTAATAAGGCCTTGTGGAGGCAGGAGGGAAATAAGAGGGGAGCCAGCTCACATGACTATGTGCACAATTCATGTATTGGAAAAAAACAGTTATAAATACATGACTGGCAAAACAAACCAAGAATCTTGTGGAATCTTAAAAGCTATCAAATATATTATGCCATGCATTTTAATGGACAGGAGTCCACCTCACCAGATGCTTATTGTTATGTTCGTCTTCCAGATGCTATGAGACTGTTCAGTAGTCTGTATGGAATGTACTAGCTCATGACAACCTTCTAATGCTTCACTGACATTTAGACAGGTGATATAGTCCACTACATCAATAAGACTAGCAAATTACTGATGATCTGTTTGTTCATATTCAGTCTGGGAGGAAAAAGGTTTAGTTCCTGAAGCAAACGTGTTGTTGGAGGGCACCAGTCTATTAATGGTATTAATGCAATTGATCATATAACAGCATTCACCTATTGTTTAATATAGAAATACCCTATTTAAAAGAACACTCAAGTCAACACATTTTCTCTGATTCATACAGCTTTTGCTAAAATATTTAGTTGATTGTATTCATCAGTATGTACAAGAAAGGAATTCTGGATTCCAGGATCCAGTTGCTAGAACTGTACTTGCTTAATTCTGGCCCCTTTTAATAAACAGTGACTGGATTTCGTTTTCATCAGCTTCCCCAAAAGAGGGTGATCTACGCACTATATGAAACTCAGCACTTATTAAACATGGCCTCCAACAAATCTGCATGAAAATTAAATTTCACTTTCATCAAGGAGAGAATAAACATATGGGAGGATGTATAATCTTATTTATCAAATACCATTTGTATAATTAAACACGAATAGCATAAAAGGTTGACTTAGGTCATCATTTGCATGAGTAAGTAATTTGTAGAATGTCAGGTGCAATAGATGGAGTAGACGGATGTGTGAGTGTATAGGGTTAAATTAGGCTCAATAATAGTGAAACACATAGTGATCAATCAGAATGATAGATCTAAATGGCAATACAAGGGGACTGTATGGCTGATTTTTAGTATTAAGTATTCCTTAGTAAGCTTTCACGTCGAGAAGTTCTAAATGCAATAAAATGTTCTCTTTATATGAGCACTTCTACACTTTGAAGAGGGGACAGTGTAAAACCTGAATTTACTTTAAAGTGGAAGATCAGCCTAGCATTGGAGACATATGTCTTATTGCAAGGCAGAGGAAAAGTCTGTCCTCTGTACAGCAAAGTGTTTACTTTAAATGAAGACTTAACTGCCTAACCAAAAGTAATTCATTTTCAAGGATCAACTTAGGCTGAAAAGTGGTTTGTTCTGAAGCAGACTGTAGATCACACACTTCCAATAGCTGAAGACAGAAGATGCAAGGAAATGACACACATTAAATCCTGTGGAAATTATGTTTTGTATCCTTTTGCTTGTATCCAAATGCCAATGGTGTGTCCATTAAGTTGATTTCTCCTACAGAAAGATGAACTGTGGAGGAAATAGCTAGCTATAGAGGAGCATCAAGGGAGCATCTATTTTTTAAAAAATGACAGATGAAAAGAGGAATGCCCTGTTCTAGCAGCTGCTTTCTCATTGCTAACTTAAGAAACACGGATTTCAGTGGATCTGTTCCAATTGTTTGGTTTGTTGAGCAGAGTTTGCGATGAGGAAAATTGAGTGTAGCCCTTAATAATAATAAACATTTCTTCTGGCCATATAACAGATAAAAAAGGTTCAGTCAGGAACCTACAAAGCAGATTGAAATACAGTATCCCTTAGGAGACTGGCACTTATTTGTTTTAATACATTTACTCAGAGACTCTGGTAAATTAGAAAGAATAAAAGGTTTGTTTACTTACAGTTCCTATATAAAAACAAACACTATATTTTGTGGAAATATTATTTTTTTTACATTGTTGTTGTTGTTTAGTCGTTTAGTCATGTCCAACTCTTTATGACCCCATGGACCAGAGCACGCCAGGTCCTCCTGTCTTCCACTGTCTCCTGGAGTTGGGTCATATGCATGTTGGTAGCTTTGATAACACTGTCCAACCATCTCATCCTCTGTCATCCCCTTCTCCTCCTGCCTTCACACTTTCCCAACATCAGGGTCTTTTCCAGGGAGTCTTCTCTTCTCATGAGATGGCCAAAGTATTGGAGCCTCAGCTTCAGGATCTGTCCTTCCAGTGAGCACTCAGGGTTGATTTCCTTTAGAATTGCTAGGTTTGTTCTCCTTGCAATCCAGGGGACTCTTAAGAGCCTCCTCCAACACCACAATTCAAAAGCATCAATTCTTCGGCGGTCAGCTTCCTTTTCTTTACATAGCTGAGCCTAATTGGTTAGTGTGCTTCATTATTTACTAACTAACTGGTTATGTTGCTGACAGAACACTTCACTCTAACTGCTCACTTCTGACTCCCTAACTAACACTCTGAAAGTCCACTGACAGACCATGAATGGAAAAAAAAAGTGGGGGGAAAGATTTCTGAGGTAGAATGGGAACCATTGGCTGCTATTGAGTTGACTGACATTCACTGCAGCTCCTTTCCAGCCAAGACCTCTCAAAGGCATCATATGAAGGTGCAATAGGGATGATCAAATCCAGATCCAAACCATCACCACAGCACTTGGGAACAAAATTTGCTTGCACCAAGCCAGACAAGAAGTCCATCTGGTTCAGTATTGCTCACACCAGCTGGAGATAACTCTCCATGATCTCAGGCAAATACCTTTCCCAACATTTAACAGAGATTAGGGAACTAAAGCACGACCTTACTACCTGCAAAACATGTTGTTCAATGATGAAACTATATCTCTTTCTTTGATAATTACCGGTTTGCATATTTCTCTATTATCCAACCTAGTAATGTTTATTCTGGTTGATGGTGGCATTGCATGGCTCCAAACAAAAGCATTACCAGACAATTTTTTTTAACTAACTACGTACTCTAGGGAGTGAAATTAGAGCCCTCTGTATGCAAGGCATGCACTCCAGCACTGCACTATAGCCTCTCCCAGCATAATGATATGTTGTCTGCACAGTGCTTTAATGTTTCATGTGCATTCATGTGCACTGTTGTTGAAACATCCACCCACCACTTAGATATTTCATTTCTGGAGTCTCAGAAGAGAGAAAGAATGACAATTCCAGTAAATACTAACATAAAAATGGGTTACTCTTTGAGGTGCTACCAGACAACTTGTTTTTGCTGGAACCAACTGAAACAACAATTGTTCCAGAAATTAGTAAACTCTGTGCGCAACAAACGTAAAAAGGTACATAGATTAAAAAGCTAAGTAAGCACATCATGGGTAAAAGAGATGGGGAGGAGAGAAGTAAAGGTGCAAAAATAATTCAAGTTAACTAGGATATCTGTCCCTTGTAACTTGAATTGTGTATCCATACACAGTGTTGGGAGTAAGACTGCAGTTACAATGCTGAATTACACATTTAGAAATTTAGAAATAACCTAAATTGAGGAACACATACACACAAACTTGAGTGACGTAATCCTATTTAGTTTAAGCTTTTTGGCTCCCATATTAACCAACAACAGCCTCTGTTAAGTAGTAATACTGCATTTTAAATATCTAAATGTTTTAATACTGTGTTCCAAGATTTATCAGTGAATCTTAAAATATCCTTTGAGTAAAAGGTTCAGGTCTCCAGTTTGTTGCTTATTGCAGGAAAAATGGGAACAGAGAGTACTTGTGCTTTGAGCTCATTGACTATATATATACTGCCTTTTATATAATTTAATCTTACATCATGTTGCACAGACGTGAAATCCAAAACCTCTGCCAAAACCTCTATCATCATTAGAATGTGCATAGGCTTAAGAAAGCCATAAGAGGGCTCCAGATTCATCTATGCAAGCAGTAAGTCAGATGTCTTCATGTTTAGTTTCTTGGCCCCTTGCCCAGAAAGCACTTTGAAAAACAGGTAAGCTCTCTAGAATCTACCTACTTAGAGAACTGCAAAATTCTAGACACAGCAAAAGGAAACTTGTTTTGTGGCTAAAAGAAGAAGAAAGCAACATTCCTCCATAAAGATCAGGCCAACAGGCTAGGAATGGAATGATCAGATGACACTAAATCAAAAAGGGCAGCCAAGGTCTGGTGATTCTACTACAGACCTCAGGCATCAGGCATAGCAGAAGAGCTTTTCTCAAACTGCCATTCCTTTGGTGATTGTCTTCAGCAACTAGTCCATACCTAGGCCTTCTCTTCAAAGATACAGGAAATGCCAAGGCTTCGTCATTGCAATCAAGCCAATGCACATTGGGCGTAGGTTTTTAACATCTCCATTGAAATAAAAGTAATTTTTTAGCTTTCCCAATTGCTTTGAAATTGGCTTCTCAAGGAGTTGTTAAGAGAGCTCCTCTATTTTGGCTTTCAGGAAACAGTGCAAAGGATATCTGTCCAGCTCATAT